ACTCCATATGGCCCAAAGAGGGAATGACTTCCTATATAAGGATTTTGTCATTTTTATCAGATTAAAGCCCCCCCCCCTTAGAATTAATATTATCTAATACCCTCTCTACTGTTTTTTTTTGGGGGGGAGTACTGGGGATTGGTCTCAGGAGCACTCGACCACTGACCAATATCCCCAGCCCTATTTTGTATATATATATTTTTAATTTGGAGTCAGGGCCTCACTGAGTCGCTTGGAGCCTCGATTTTGCTGAAGTTGGCTTTGTACTACTGGCCTCAGCCTCCCCAGCTGCTGGGATTACAGTTGTGCTCCACTGCCACTGTGCCCAGTTCTTCTCTACTTTTCTAAATTAAATTCATTGAAAATGAAAAACTACACACACGTTTTAAAATATCAATATAACAATGCTAATATTGACAGAAAATATCAATATAACATTGCTAATACAATGGAAATTATTCATAATATAATATTTCAATACATAAAATTCAACCTTGACTTAGGAAGAGATATAAGAAGTAGTCAAGTGCTTACACCTAAATTTAGATAGATACACCCTGAATGTAACAGCTACAAACACAGATTGATACAGGTGCATCCTAGCAGTGCCTCAAATACTAAGTGTGGCTTATGGACTGGGAACGTGACTTCTTAAAATGGAATAAACTATTAATAATGTTTAGGAAAACGGTACAATCTTCCCTTGTATTATATACTTGCAATGTAGATTAAAAATTTTCAAAAATACTTTGGGCTTATATGTGAAACTCAGTTCTAGGCATAATTATAAACCGTTTTGTTCACCCATATGAATGTCTGAACCAAAATTCAAAAGTTCTGCATGACATGGGGCAATTCTTCAAGGTGTCAGACTGCATTGTGCATTTCAGGAGGTCTGGCAGCCCTGGCTCCTCCTCCTAAATAGCAGCGCTGTACCCCAATCATATAACAACCTCCCCTACTTTTCCAATGGGTCCTCTAGAGGAGGATATTAATTCCATAGAGAAACACTAGTTTATATAATCCACTCAAGCCACTTATTAACGTAAGACCTCATTTGCATTTTTGTTCTTTTAAGTTGCATTATCAGAAGGACTAAAGTTCTCATTAAAATAGAAAAATTTTCTCTTTAGTTGTGGATAGGTGGATTCTCAACAAGTAGTGGACAGTGAATAGGATATGTTATCCTTTGTGTATTTAAATGATACTTATTTAAATGGCACTCAAATTTTTAGTCATTATATAATAACATTCATTTTTTTTCTCAGTAGCTTATGTTTCAGCAGGTGTTCTTCCAGGGTTCAGCAAGGTTTAGCTCTACATTGAGAACCAGAAACTTGATTGCTGGTATTGTCACTGATGCTGGAGAAAATTTGTCCTTATTTTGAGCATCATTAGCAAGTTTTGAAACAAAGACCTCAGTAGGAGAGTTTAATCAACATAGCTGAAGCCAGAACTTAAGCTGCAAGGGAGATTGAGAACATGAGTTTCTGACACTTGCATCTTATTTAGTGGGAGATTAATCCTGCCTCCATGATTCATAAGGGGGTGAGACTATCAGTTTTGGTAAGGTCATGCTGTGTAACAAGCAATCCCCAAAAAGTAAATATCTATTTTTAAATAAATACTTATTTCTTTATATTGCATACCAGGTGTAGATTATCAGTGGGTCCTGAGCTTATCATAATAATCTGTCTGGGTTGCTAGAGCAGCAATCATCTCAAATACTGTTTTTAAACTGTACTAGGTACTGAGAGCTTGGTGAACTGGCTTTCAACATTGCAATAATAAAGATTACTTCTAATGTTATTTTATAGCAAACCAAAAGGCCACACATAATGCTAAGGAGGGTGTTATGCATATAAAGGAATATTTTAGGAATATTTGATGCATTGATCTAATGAAATCATGTGGGAAAATTCTCAAACATGGAAAAGAGTACAGATGTAAGACCAACATCCACTAGATACTGTTTATTTATATCTTTTCTAGGTATCACCACGCTCAGTGTAGCTCAGTAGCTATTAGCAACACAGTAGGTGATGAATGAGTGAATGTTGAATAAAAGGATGAATATGAATTTGGTTGCTTAATTTACCAAATTTACTATAATTGAAGCTTAAAGAGTTACTTTACTATTTTAAATCCACAGTGAAGCAAAATAAATATAAGTGTCATTTGTATGCAATGATGCACTTAGAAAACTTGAGAGCCAGTGTGGTACAGTGGAAAGAGAAAAAAAAGATGTTTAAAGACAATATTGCTTTGTGACCACTTGTAGGATCTCTTTATGGCAGGGACATTATCCTATAGCAGGGACATTGTCTCCTGCACTTAGAGCCGACTTAGGGGCATAGTTCTGGCATCCTTAGCTGTGTAGCCTTGGCAAGAGTTCCATCAGTGTAACCACGGGTGCTCCACCTGCCCGCGCATGCACAACACTTTCTTCACTTAGTAATATGTTTGTGGCACTTTAGGAAATCTCCTAGACTGTGAAAAGGAAGACACTTGTGCAGTTGTGATTGTCATGCGATAGACTGACAGCACAGTGTCTGCCAGGAAGTATGCATTCAGTAGGGTTCACACTTCTAGCTCTGTAGGGGCGACCATTTGTTCTATTCTTAATGTGGAATGGAATGGATACCTAATAAAGTGTGCAGTGCATTTATAGAAGTTTGCCCAAGGTGCGAGGGAGAGGGGCTTGGGGAATAACAATAACAATCCTCGGGCTTCATCCTCAAAACTCAAAGGTCCAACCCTTCACAACCGCCAATGGGCGTCTAGAGCTCCTGTTCCCTCCTTGATGTCTGGGGCCCGCCCGCGAGCCACCTCCAACCGCCTCCAAGCCCCGCCTTCCAGGGCGGCCCTCCAATCGGCGGCGCCTTCCTAGCCCAACCCTCGTGGGTCACGTGGCGCGACAGGGCCCGCTTCCGGTGCGTCGCGGGCGGCTGACGTCGCCGGGCCCCGCGTCGCGTCAGGGCTGGCCGGCGGCGGCGGAGGTGGAGGCGGAGGCGATGGCAGCGGACCCTGAGCGGGCTTGAGGGCGCGGACCCAGCTCCCTCCCGCGCTACCTCGGGCCGACCCGGCGCTGCCGTCCCCGCTCGCCCCACGTCTGCTCCCTCCCCGGCCGCTGCCTGGGCGGAGGCGGAGGCCCGGGCTGGCCGCCCTGCTCGTGCCCCGGCTCGGCCCCGGACGGCCCGGCTGCTGTGCGGAGAGGAGGCCGAGTCGGTAAGAGGCGGCGGCGGGGCCTGGAGGCCACCCGGCCCCCGCCCGGCCGCCCGGGACGCCCCCGCGCCGTGTCGCCCTCCGGCCGGCTCCCAGCCCGCCGCGCTCGCCACAGCTCGCCGGCCCTATTGTCTGGGCGCCGCCGCTCCCTCTCCCCTCCCTTCCTTCCCCCTGCCGAGGGCCGGCGGCTGTCAAACCTGGAGGCTGCTGGGCTTGGGGCCAGCCTGCCCAGCCTTTCCTGCCCTTCTGCCGCCCGCTCTGCGTCCAGCTTCACCTCCCACCTCCTGTGGCCCCTCCGGCATTCTCTGACCATCGCTGCACTTGCTTGGTGTCTGTCTTACCCATTTTCTCTTCCCCTCCACTTGTCATCTCCCATAGCTTCCACTGTCCTTCCATTTTTTTTGCTATTCTTTTTTCTCTTTCCTCCCTGTTTTTATTCCTCTTCGTGTCCTGCCTTCTCTCTTTTTGCCTCAAGTTTTCTCCTCCAATAGACTGACTTATTTTGTAAAAGTAACTTGATTAAAATCTCTCTTCATCCTTCTGTCTTTCCACAAGAAAATGAAACCTTGCCTTTTCTGGTGCCTCATTCCTAAGTGTCACTGGGTATTATTATTATGGGCTCTAAGTTTGATCCTAGAAAATTTTAGTGTAACTGCCTAACCATCCCTTACTGAGTTCTTCCTGTGAAGAAAAGCAAAAATTCTGATTCGATTTCTACACAGACATTTAAGTAACTGCCTTATGTGTTGCACACCAACAAAACTTTTATTAAAAATATTCCTACATGTGTTCCATAACCCCAGTCTGGCCATGATTCCTGTTAACTCTTCAATGGCCTAATGTTTGCTCAGGCGGTACCAAGAGGATGTCTCCACCTACCCCCAAACCATGACTATTAAATTTTATTTCACAATTTTTGGAGCTGGTAGTCATACTATTTTTTCCTCCTTCCCTGTCAGATTCTTTGTGAGAGGAAGGGACAATTGGAATTTTATGTTTGCTACTATGCTTTTTGTCTTTTGAAATTGTGACCAATCCAGTGTAAACAAACAAACAAACCCCCCCCCCCCAAAAAAAACCCACTTTTTTAAAAACTGTAGTCACCATAATCATTAGAAATAACAAATATAAAAAATTGTTTAGATATCTGTCTCATTCTCCAGTAATAATAGACTTCCTGATTATCGATTAGATTTTGATTAGATTATCTCAAAACAAGTTCATAGTCCTTATATACTCATTAGTGAAAAAGGAGGACATCCCAAGTGTGCTAGGTGGCCAAAAGTTTAATAGTTTTAGTTTAAATAGTCTCCCTGTGAATCATCTTGAGGGAAGTATGTATGTACTTTTTGTAGTTTTTTGTTTGACATCACTACCATTTTTAACATCAGTGTGGGTGCTGTATATTGAAATAGAAATAGAGTAGAAGTAAATTTTCACAGTTAAAACCCCCAACATTATTCCTTATTAAATATGAAGTATAAGAAAAATTTCAGTTGTGACTCTTAAATTGAATCTGCTGCCAAGGTAGGGCTTTATAGGTAATGAAACATCCCAGTCACAAGAGGAATTAATCAAAATCCTCATTGGCCAAGGACTGTGTCTACTGTCTTCTTTGTCTTTGTGTGTTTCCAATGTTTTGCATTACAAAGCACTCAAATATTTCTTGAAATTAATGAAAAACTTAATTTGTTTTCTTAAGAATTTAAAAAATTATTCAGAGCACTCGGCTTTCTTAATTTTTCAAAATAGGAAATCATTTTTGGGGTATTTTCTTGGACATTTTCAAATTAAAATTTAAAGCATTTTAACCATTAGTAAGTTTTAATGGCACATCTCTTTATTCTTTTTTTAACTAGTTATCTTCCTATGTCCTTTTGCTTAATTCCCTATCAGGAGTGCCTCTAAGTTACATAGTACTTTACCTAGAGATGTTGGTAATCTTCATTCAAATTAAAAAAAAAATTAGGAAGTATTTTAACATCTCATGTATTGTTTTAAAAATTGTTTAATTTTGTTCCCTTACACTATATTTCCTGTGCATTTTATGCATTGGAATCTAACTTTCTTTTTTTCCTCTTGAGGTAGTGAAAAGAAAATACTGAAGAATAGGATCTCAAGATGAGTAAAAAGCCCCCAAATCGTCCTGGAATCACTTTTGAGATTGGTGCTCGTTTGGAGGCACTGGACTACTTACAAAAATGGTATGGAAAATGTAGAACTTTGACTTTAAGCACAATATCTATAGCTTCACATTACTGTTAACTCTTCTGGTAGTAGCAGAAGCATTATTATAATCACAGTTTAAATACATGTGCATTGGTTTTTAGTTTCCAGTTTTAGCATTTAAAAACTTTAGTCAATTATTTCATGTAATTGTTTTAGGTGTTTGAGAACTGAAAATAATTATCTACAACATGGGTTGTACAGAGTGTATTGGTACTTAGTATACTTAACATAAGTTATGTTGAGAGAGGTTAAGAGGAAATTAATTCAGATAATAAGCTTCCCAAGTTTTAGATAAATTTCGATAGGTCTGTTTTCTTGTCCTGTATCAGAGGTGGACTTTCATACTACTGAGTGTATTAATAGTTAGCACAGTATTTTTTTCATAGTATACACTTTCAGAAATATCTCCACTCTTCACCATCCCACCTAAAACCAAAATTGCACTTAACTTTCTCCTTTCCTGAAAGGCAGAACCTAGAACAAGTTGTTACTATCTCCCAAACTAGATGGGCACTCCTCCCATACACTGCTTTCTTCTCTTGTTTGGCCATCTGCTGTATGTGGTAAATTTAACCCTCCCTAATATATCCTTTATACATGATGTCAGAAAAGCGCATAAACAGGTATAAAACCACCACCTGCAAAAGAAGGATGGGAAACAACATGTAGGGTCACTGGGCTCTAGCAGATATAAAGGTAATTCCTCTCCTCCTCAGGAATGTGATCCTTATTCAGGCTAGCTAGCCCTTGCTCATGGTAGAGGTCCTCTTGGTTGCATTTTCAAGCCTCAACTTGAGAGAACCATTACAGAAGTCCCCTTGCTAGAGTTGGGTTGCCTTTGTTCTTCTTGAAGCCTGTTTATTTTGGTGAGGAGTCTAGTGATTTAGCAACTCCAGGGTGTTATTTACCAGACATTTTGACATTTTCTTTCACTACAACTTCATAGTAGGCATGTTACACATTTGCTTTTGATTGATTTGCAAAGTCAATTTCCTGAGTTGGCAATGGCAGACAAAAATTTGTTCAGTCGTAATATTTGACTTTAGTCAAGGGTTTCTGTCTCTTTAATATCTGACCTTAGACCCCAGCATTTTCCTGACCCTCAGTTTAATGGCCTTGATCTTGGGCTCTGCTTTAGGACTGTTGACACTGCAACATCTGAGGTTGACAGGCATTGTTATTACACCCCTTTTCCTCAGTGGCATCTCGAGGTTCTTTCTAGAGGTCTCGTAACTCTTATCAGGTGGATAGTTTACATAATTGTTCTCTGGAGGGCTTCGAAAACATCTGGGAACCAGGCAGTAAATCTCTCCTATTAGTGACAATAAAGTATCTTTAGATATTGTCCTGATTGAGAAATATTGCCTGAGACTGTGCAACAGATGATAGCAGTTTAGGCAGTAATTGGATTTTTTGGCTCTCATTTGGCCAAAGGAGCTGTATACTGTGAAGCACACTATTGAATCTCTGTCATAAAATGAGTATAGAAATAATACTTATTTTTTGATTTTGATGTTAATTTTAAGTTTTTAAGTTACTGACTTTGGTATTAACTAGTTAATTTACATTAATATATTCTCTTAGATTTCTCAACCTACAGAGTTGTAACTGAGCTTCCTTCCATTGTTGAAGAAACATGTAGTTCGTTAGTTTTTTCAGTAGTTTTCAGAGAGATGAACATAACTTTTGTATTGGTGAGAAACTTATTTCTGCTGGTGATATGTTTTATAAACCAACAGCTGTTAAAATTTATGATTCAGTAGTTGAAAAATAAGGACTATAAAAAAAGAACTATTTTTAAAACTATGCCTAAATATATTTTTTAGTGTTCTGGGTTTCTAGATGATTTGGAATTTCAAAGAACAAATGAAAGTTGTAGCTTCTCACCAAGAAATTTCTAAGTGCTTATTAGAAAGGGTAATGTCATGTGTGTCCTCAATTGATGAAGTTTAAATTTAATCTAATGACCCCATTGATAATGATTGTTTGAAGTAAACATTAGCCTGAGTAATCTCATATGATCATCATGAAACTTTTTATCAATTTAATTTTCATGAATTCATTCATATCTGAAGCAGATTTGAGCATCTGCTTCAGATAACTCCTTGATTAAAAAAGAAGAGAATTGTATATACATATTCTGAATAATTCAAATAAATAATTTTCTTGTGATTTTTGTTTTTCAATATCAATAGTTTCAAGAACTACTTAGACTTAGGTGAGTATTAAATTGTTAAGTGGCTTATCACAGAGCAATTTTAAATTGCTGAGATTAATTTATATGTGGCACAATATTTCTGTGAGACTTAATGTTTAATAGGTTTTATTTGTAAATGAGGTAAGCTTTATTCTTCATATTATTCTGTTTGTAAAGGGCCATTCTGTATTTTGTATCAATTCTATTTGATTATTGAGAAACTGACATTCTCATAAGGGCCAGAATAGTTAATCACTAAAAATATACAGAAATAATTCCCTTCCTCCCTCCTTTCTTTCAGTGTTTCTTGTAACCATATTGAATGCTTCATCTTCCAGATTTATTCAGATCAGTTTGAAAAGTATTGAGTCATATTTGATATAAATGTAGTTTAATTGTTATAGTCATTGGACTGGTAGAGAATAAATGCAAATCTTGCTGTTTCTGTACTTGACACTAAATAGTTTATCTGTTATTAATGAACTTACTTATCAAATGTTGATATGTTTCCTTTTAAAAAGAAATGCAAAAGGAGCCTAATGATAGTGGAATACTCAGAATACCAGTTTTCTTTGTTCTGTATGTAGAAGTATTTTCATATATAAAGAAGAAAAAAATAATTTTTAATGTGTCCCTAGGAATAAAAGGATAAATTCTAAATGTAGTAGGCAGAAACAAACTAAAGTTAAGCTCCCTTAGTTTAAGATAGATTTGTTTAGTAGGAAGACTCACTCTGTTTTAGGAAAAGTAAATTATTACTGTTTAAACAAACCATATCATATATTTCTTAAAGTTTAGGAAGATATCTTACTTTTGAAGAGAAGCTTTTTAAAAGTAGGGATTTATTACTTTTTGTTTTCAAATTACATTTATAGCTACATAAGAAAATAATTGATGGCTTGATTATTTTCTAGTACTAATGGGGGCAGACCCTAATAAGCCACTGAATGATTAGTCATTTTCATTCTAGTACTTGTTGTTTGATACTTGGATCTCTTCTAGACTAAACCTAACTCCTAGTGTGCACTATTAAAATTTTTGAAAATTTTGTAGTCTTAAATTTTTTCTTTAACTGAATAATCAGTATAAGGATTTTAACATACTACTGTTCAATTGACACAGGCACCCGTTTTCTATCTTACCTCCATCATATTTTCCACTATAACCTCTGTCCATCCAAACTTTGACATTGACTGTTATATTACCTTGAAAGCAGTAATATCATGAGAATCAAAATGATGCAGGTGTTTTGGTACAGGAATGTATTTTGGTAAGCAGAAGATGCAGAGTTGAAGTTATACTGGAGACACTATAAGTGGATAGGTTTAAATTGAGACATAATAAATTCAGAGAGTTATTAACCCTGTAAATATGAGTAATCCTTTAAATGGTCTGCTTATTAGCAAAATAGAAGCAGAATTACTGGCTTTTATTTACAGATTGATTTTAAGGATCAAATAAACTTAAGTATTTAAACTTACTTTAAATTACACTCATGTATACATAAATGTGTGTAATTTATACATATTTATACATAAATATAAAGCTTGAAGCAAATTCAAGGGAAGAGGTAGAGTTAAAAAATAATCATTTGGGAATCTGAGATTTAAGTATGTAAGGTTTTAAATGAAGCTTTAGTGTTATATTATAAGAGTGGCCTGGAATTGTAGGAAAGCCATATCATTGCAAAAAGCTGTAGCAGTCTTCTTGGTGACAATCAAACATTTCTATAAAGTTTTATAGTTTATAGAGCACCCTTGCAAATATTAAAGCGTCTCATTTTTCCCAAAATGTTCAATGATGAAGGTGGTAAAACTTGTTTTGACTATTGATTTAACTTCTGTCTTTTGATTGAAATTAAACTAGTTATAATGTAGAAAATGATTTAGTTATGAAAACACGACAAATAATATGCTGTGGTGTTAGTCTTAAAAAAATTTGAAGTACAGAGTCAATTGAAAATATTCAGATGAGTTATGCTCTTCTGACTTCTTTTGGAATATTTCTATTTAATTCTCTTCTAGATCTAAAGAAAAGGAAAATGAAAGATTAAAAAATGTGGAGATGTCTCCAAGTATCAGAGTTTGATAGAACAGTATAAATTTGAATTGGCAAATGCTGTTTCCACACATTTGGAGGTTTTTGAACTGTATGGAACATTTGCAAATGTGAGTTTTTAAGATGTTCATAAGCAGAATCTTAATAGTGTGGGAAAATTGAGGAAATTAATTTGTAGCAAGTACAAATCACCTTCTAATTTAAAAAATACATATATTCTGAATTTAAAAAAATTATTGTTTTCCTAAGATATTCAAAGGAAAGCATTAGTAAAGATAAGTTGTATGATCTATATGTAGGGTAGGAGAATACTCCTGAGAAGAAATATGTGGATTGACTTTTAATTATGAAGTAATACTTATATTAGATGAGTTTTTAAATTGTAGGAGCATCAGGTGAATACTTTTATGTAATATATAGGTTCTTTTGGTAATATGAATAAAATATTTGTCTCTTTATATGTGGGTTTTCTAAATTTGTATATAGTTGAAAAGTAATCATTGTTGACTCATTAACTACCTTAAAAACCTAATTTCAGAAAAGGTGTGCAATTGCATGTACTTTTTTTTTTATATAATTCAGACATTTTCACATCCAGATAATCATAAAATTTGAATCAAAAGTCAAATCTGAAACCATCCAGCGTAATCATCAAGCAGATGTGTACCAGTGTACAGATATTTTAGTTCTTAAGTTTTTAAAATATCTGCAAAGTCTTGTATACTCCTTTTAATGATGATAAAGAACTGCCTCCTCCCCCAAAACACAAAGTGTGAAAAGCAAAATTAGAAATAGGGGAAAATAGAGTTATTATTTATTTTAAAACACATCTGGTCTCACTGTGATTTTTGTTCTTATTAATTTTTTTTCTTATAGTTTTCTATAGGAAAAGGAGAGAAAAGGAATACCGGGGAAAAAATTTAACTGGAAGTCAGGTTCTTCTCTGTTTTAATGTCTTTTCAGTCAGTGTTACTTTTTAAATGATCTTTCAGGTCCTTTGATTCTAAATTTATTTTCTTTTATATAGTTCACTTATATTTTAATCTCATTTTTAGACAGGCAAATAACAGACCCAAGGCAGAAGTATGCTAGACAAGGAAAAGTCACATATAGTTTGTTTTTTAGAAGAGAAAACAGTTAAGTACATGTATGAAGACGTGAAGATGTGACTCTACTTTTTGTACAACCTACAAACTGATGATTTCCTAGCCTCCTTCATAAATTTATAAAAGTATAAAATCTATATGTGTAATATGAATTGTTATGCATTCTCTTGTCATATATAATTAAAATTTTTTAAAAAATGAATGTAATTTGGAACCAAAATCTAGAGGCTTGCATTTGGATCATAGTGCCTTTGGGCTCCAAATGGTGAGCTTTTCACTATGACACATTGCCTCATTCCCTGGAGCTGTGATCTCAGTTAGCTAAATGGGCTCAGTGTTCACAGACCATCTTTCTTTTTTTCCCTCCCTCCCTCCTTCTGTCCTTTTCTTCTTCCTTCCTTTCCCAGTACTGGGCATTGAACTCAGGAGTGATCTACCACTGAACTACATCCCCAGCCCTATTTATATTTTATTGTGAGACATTGTCTCCCTAAGTTTCCCAGGTTGTCCTTGAACTTGGACTCCTGAACTTGGACGCCTTCTATTTTTTGGGCTTATAGGCGTGTGCCATCCTTTCCGGCTTACAGGCTATCTTGATTGCCCACTTAATCTAGTTGTATGTATGTGTCTGGCAAGTCTGTCCCCGGAAGTTCATCAAGGCTCTTTTACTCTTGCTCCTTGGAATTAGAGAGCTTGCCCAAGGCAGGTTAATTTTAGGTCTCTGTATTCTAGAAATCTTCCTTCTTCTGAGCTTACCTTAGAATCAAACCTACAAACTTACAAGCTGATGATTTCCTAGCCTCCTTCATAAATTTATAAAAGTATAAAATCTAGGAATTTTAAGCTTATTTTGCTGTGGTGTGTGTGTGTTCGTATGATGGCAAAGATTGGACTAAGAGAAAAGACAGTTGTATTTGCTTCTCTGACATTTGGTTGAAGTGCAACTGTCATGTATCACACACTTATATCTCTGTATTCATTGCATCATTCCTGCAGAATGTTGTCACTATGTTTTGTGAGATTTCATTCTAGTCACATCACATAGATAATAGCTTATTTTTTGGTGGTGGGGTTGATTAAAACCACTAGCTGGGAAACAGTTTATGTGTGGTAGTTAACTACCACATATATTCTCTAGTAAAGAGAGTATATTGCAGTTTTAGTTTTGCTGAGTTGACAGAACTGGCATCTGCAGATACTTAGTGTTTTTAATTTTGTTTTTAAATGATGTATTTTAAGCTGAGGGAGAAAATATTAGTTTTAATTTTGTGTTTTAAATATCAGTATAATTCTTAAAAAGAAATTAACAGTAAGCTGAAAAGGCAGTTTAGTTTTACTAAGCTTCATAAGGGTCCTGGTTTTTTAGTATTTTTAAAACTGTAAATTTGTATTTTGTAGTACTAGTACTGTTGACCATCCCCTACCATCATTTACCACAGATCATAGCAATATTCATTTTATTAAATTAGAAATTGGTAAGTGCAAGTGTGTGTGTGTGCATGTGTGTGTGTGTGTGTGTGTATCTAACATAGGTATTTACTTGCAAACGGTAATATACTAAGTTTATTGAATTTTGGTGGGCTTGTAATAAATGAACTCATATGTTTGGTGTTATCTGGAAATATATGGTTATTATTACAAAAAAAAATTAAGACAAATGAATTTTGACTTATGGGTTAAACAAAAGATGATCTTTATTAACCTACGTTAAAATTTTAGTTTTAAAGTCATATTTTTCTTAGTTCTATAACAAATCATTCTAGGTTTCCTATCTTAATTTTTAAATTTACATAATAACAGATTTTAAATGTGGCAAAAGTTAAGCTACATTATTTTCTCAGAGTGATTCATTTTAATAGTGTGATATTTCATATTTCGGAAGACCTGAAATGCAGTAAGTACTTCTTTAGTTTTGAGAAATTTTAGTAATAAAATAGGTCTTTTTTCCTTTGCTTAGTCATTTTGTGTAGAGGTAGGCATTTTTCAAAATACAATAAAATCTGTTTTCTGTATTCTTTGAGCTAACAGAAACCAACTTTAGGTATGTTATTTGTATAAAAAGCAGAAGATTAAATTTGAAGGAAAAATAAACTAATTTGATTTTTCTTATTTTTTTAAATCTGTTTTTATTATCTTTTATTAAGAGCCTGTTAAACTTAAAACTCTGCAGTGAGAGGACTTTAGTATCATCAGTTGCTAAAGCAGAATCTGGAGTGATTGAACATCTAGTCTTTAGAGACTGCAAAACCTGAATTCAGGGATCCAGCACTATTACCTCTTTAAATGGAGCAAGTTACTGAACATTTCAGAACCTCTGTAACCTGGTTGAAAAAGCAGGAGCAGTAATACTACCTTACACAAAGCGTTCTCAGAGTATTAAGCAAGACAGCACCTTGATTTTAGCATGTTTCCTGCCACATTAGGCACTTAACACTAACTTTAGTAATAGCAATGTGAATGTTAGTTATTTTAAGAAGATAAGTCAAATGGAAGAGAAATTAGTATTCTGACACTTTAATCAATAAGGGATATAAACACATGTGTAGTAAAAAATATTTAATTGCTAAATATTAAGAAATATAATTAGGCAACTGCATCCTGCTAGAATTTTGAGTTTTGCTGGCATAATTAAGTGGTGAAAAGTTTGATTGTAGCTGGAAAAATTAATATAAAGTGCATAAACTTGGAGTACAGTGCTGGTGATGGGGAGAGCCTGTTGTGGCAAAGTAAAAGGAGAGTTTCGAGGGGTTTCTGGAGTCTGGTGGTAGGAGGAGCTAAAAAATGCAAAGGTCGTGGCATAGGCCCTACCTGTGTGTGTTCTGGGGATTAGTGCAAGGTCTAGAAGGAAGAGCTGAGAAATAGTGTGATTAGACCCTAGAGAGTTGTAGAAGATGTGATTTTGACCCATGAGCTATTATCTTGAATGTTCTTAAAATTCTAGATTATTTTTAATTGTGTTTCATTTTGAAATCTCAACTTTGAATAAATCAAAAGGGTTTTTTCAGTGTTTTTTTAAGTGTAAGATAAATTAATATACAGTGTCTAAAAGCACTGAATTTTAAAATACTAGTATAAAAATATTAGATTACCTTGTCTTTGCAGGTAAAATCAGTAGATGAATAGGTGAGGAAAATTACAAAGTGTATGTAAATTTGAAGTGCTTCTAGGAAACAAAACATTAAAGAGTTACTAGGTTACAAGAATATTGTGTTTACTTAGGATCACAGTCTACCTTAATTTTTATTTGACAAATAATCCTTTTATTTCTAGCTCTTATGATATGTTTTAGTTATTTTGAATGAACACCACGTTAAAATAAGTTAAGTTCTTATCTGCAAATTTTTTTGAATTGTTAATCCTAACTCCCTAGGATTCTGCTAACATTTACATTATGTTTGTCATATTTCATACATTATCATCCTATAAATATTAAAGAACAGTTTGTCCATGAGGTAATTTTTATTTTTTTATTTTTTATATTTTGCCATGTTGGGGATTGAACCTAGGACCTTGTATATAGTAGGCAAATGTTCTACCACTGAACTACACCCCAGCTCTGAGAGCATTCTTTTAAAAATATTCTTATATGCTAGTATAATGTATCTTTACTAGTTATTACATTAGATTATAATTGTGTTAATTTATTTGATTCACTTTTTCTTTGCTGATTAATGAAGTTAATGGGAAACTGTTGATTTCTAAATTTATATCAGAACTTTTATTGTCTTATCAACACAAACAAAATTTGAATAACTCAGGGCAATTTTTAAAAATACTTTCACCTTTTCATTGCTATGACATTTGTTCAAATAGTTGCTTGGTCTTTACTCAAATCTTTTTCATGAATTTTAATGGTCTTTAGGACATTTGGCAACATATTCTGGCCTTGCTCAGTGGATTGTACTGATTGGACTTTAGTTTAAGTGCAGGAGATTCGAGACCATAAGTATATCTGGGAATTTCCCCTGTCCTTCTCTTATTGTTGACTTTCTTTTATCAGTACAGGTCAAAATCTAGATGTATCAAATAGGATGACCAATCAGAATGAATTTTTAAAATTTAAATAATGTTTGTTTTACTGTTACTACATTGACTACAAGGCAATGTAGTAACAATAAAACAAACATTATTTATTAATGTATCAGTTGATATTTCTGATATGACTGCCTGCTCACCTTTCTTTTCCTCTTTCACTCAGGAATAAGGGACTACTGATAGTTTGAATGTTAATAGATGATCTTGCCTTCCAAAAATTTTTGTTTGCCCATGGGCTCTTGAAATCTGCATAAACCTGGGAATGTCCACCTTTAAAACTGTTCATACATACCCACACTAATAAACAGTATTTTGCTTGCATATAACCTCAGGCATTTTGAGATCCTCCTTGTGGATGAGTCAAGACTTGCCTGTGTTAAATAGTGAACAGTGTGAGCCAGTATATGAGTTCACCAGTAATGGTAATTCCCATTTTAGGTTTCTCATATTTTTGTGTTTTGACAACATTGGGTGTTGATACTGTAGGGAGCTGATGCAGTATTTTCATTGTGTAGCTAACTTTGGTTAGTGTCTGGTTCTTATTCATTGTGGATTTAGTTCAGAGTTTATAGATACTGCTACTGTCTGAACAAATCTTCTGTGTGTTGGAAGCACCCGTCATAGTGTTAAAATGACAGTATATAAGTAAGGCAATAAAAATCTATTAAGAGTTCAGAGAAAGTAAAAATAATTTTTATTTTTTGTGATGACTTTGCTCTGTTTGTAGTTACAGCCACAGGAACATGACCATTAGGGAATTTGGATTCAAAAAGGGTCAATTAAATATAACAAAGATTATCTTAAAATCTTCTGAGTATTTGGATTTGCTCTTTATTTCCGTTGATCGCCCACCTCCTCTGAAAAAAGCTAACAGGGTGAATTATTTTCCTTGAGTTTGATCAAGATAAACTCTTCTTCAGGATTCAAGTGAAAAAGACATAAGAGCAATGTCATCCAGAGCAGTGGAGCACTACCTTATTTTGTACACAAGTAAACGACACTTAAACAATGAGTGTATAAGTGGTATTACAGCAGGGAAGGTACACAGTGGAAATTTTATGGTATTTGGCAGTAACACAAGAAAAGGGATAAAAGAACTCTATGTAAAATTTTCTCTTTGAGGAATCATACTTCTAGTGAGGTTACCTTCTCTTCATTTCTTTTTGTTGAACCCTTGTGAAATGCTACCTCATGCTCAATTTGTTTCTAATTTTCTCATCCATAATCATTGTTTTGGCATCTTATCTCTGACACTTTAAAGTCTGAAACCCTAGGCTCCCAGTTTCTTAAATATTTTCAACAATCATCATAAATTTCTGAGACTGAGACCAATCACTGTTCTTTTCTCTAACAGCTTTCTATGATTCAGCATTAAAAAAAAAAAAAAGACAAAAACAACACAACATCTTCTAAATTCAGTAAGAAAAATTTAGGTTCAATTTGTAGTCAATTATAGTAAAGCATAAATAGTGCATCAAAATAATGTTGTAGTTCAAGATGGGAAACATTTGTGAATACATTTGTTCAACATTATTTTTCCTTCACTGTGTTTCCAAACATCATTACTATGGGCCATCTGCTTGAACAGGGAAATCATTTTATTATTATATAGAACTGTATGTTAAAATGCTATTTTGTGTACTTTATATGTATTGCAAAGATTTCAATGTTATGATTTTTTTCTTAAGGTAGAAGTGAAAAATAAAGTAAAACTTCAAGTGACTCCCTGCTATCTGTTTGTAGAAAGCTAGCAAGTCCAATCTAGTACACACTATTTTCCATTATCCATCTTACCGTTAATCATGTAATCTGGTGGAAGGGAATATAACTGTTTCTGTTAAGCACCCCTTCAGTCTCCAAACACAAGGCCCTTGAGGACAGATCCCACCTCCTACTTGACTCTGAATCCACATTGGCTACTGTGACCCAGAGTTACATAAATGATTTAAATTAAATGAACATGAGTAAATGAATTATGCTATACTCTTCACATTGTATTGTATTTAAGTCTCAAATCTCAAAGTCCCCTACGAGGTTCAACATGGATAATGTCTCCCAAGAACCTTCAATGGACTCCCTGATTTCTTTGAATTATTAAAGAATCTTAGAAAACCTTTTGTATGCACTTACTATTTCTACTGTGTGTAATATCATCACTGAGAGATAGGCCTTTTCTCATTTCTCCTACTGGCATGGGACATAGACTTGTGCCAGTCAGTCTTGCCTTTGAACAATGCAGTATCATGTAATCTTGGACCAGTCTTCATGTGTTAAATTGGGACTATGTTATCTATTCCATGGTTGGTTACCAAGATCAAATGAGAAATGCATATAAAGAACAGTTGACATGCAGTAAGTAAAAATTGTAGAGCCTTGACATGCACATGACAATAAATGCTTCATTTTTTTTTCTCTCATCTGACTCTAAAGATAATAAGCTTCTTGATGGTAGAAGTTAATTATGTTTCTTTTTGTATCTACCAACAGTGCCTAGCAAGTGCCTTAGTCTTATTAGCTGTTCAAGTATATGTTGCATGAATGAACAGAAATTTGGACATTCTTGATAATGGTAATATTTCTGATACCTTTATTTAAGATTCAAAATTTCATTAGTAGATCTTATAAAAGTTTAAATTATATCAATCCTAGGTATCATATTACTTATTTAACTTTTGGCCTTTTCTCAAGTATACACAGCAGTTTGTAGATTATTACAGAGTGTGACATGCTGTGACTTCTAAAGAGGCTCCTAGAATTCAGTTTGTAGACTGGTTGTTGCATAAGGCATCCTCTCAGCCAGCAGAATTGGAAATATTTAAGTAACCATAAGTTACTTAAGAATGCAGTTTAGATTTTCATTATTTAAAGTCGTTTATATTCTGATATTTTAGCGAATTGAATCATTTTATAAAAATAGAGATTATTTAAATCTATTACTGTGGATTCTCCTCACTTTGAGAAATGTTTTAAATATGTATAGCTGCATCCATTTAGAATTCCAAGAGAACTACACAATAAGTCCCTTACTATTCAGAAATTAAAAGATAGTGATAAAGTAAGCATGTGAAATCTTACATTTTTGAGAGAAATTTATCAATTTTTGTAATTGATAGAAAATCTCTTCATAGGACTTCAGTGGCTGGCAAATGTTGAAAATAAAGGTTAGCCAACCTTGTTCTAGGCTTCCTTTGATGCTTTTGATAATTTTTATATTTTAAAAACCAGAGTAGCAAAAACAGAAAACCAGAGCAACACTGGAAAATACGAGCATCATAACCTTGGCTCTTTGTGCAGGGTGGGCTTGTCCTCCTCAGCAGTATGTTTATCTGGATTTCTTTGTGTTTGTTATACTTTTCTATAACAAAGTACTCCAAGATTATAATTGAGTCAGCAGCCTTCATAGTTGTGAAAAACATGCAAATTGTCTTTCTGTAACATCACTTCTTCATGCTGAATACTCCCTGAGTGCCTGTTGTATGTCCTATCACTGTGCCAGGTTCTGGGAGTACAGACTGAGGAGCATTCTGGAATCATATTCCTTGGCTATATACTCTCTTGAAAAATATTAATATTCAGTAGTACCTAAGTTTGGTAAAATGAATGTTTTATCTCCATCTCCGTCTTTTTGGTAGCACCAAGAAGTCTTTCAGTAAAGAAGGTAGTTTAACTTTTAAATCCAGTATATTCGTACCTTATTTGACTTCAGGATCTTTATTCAGTGTCACAGATCTCAGTGTCTCAAGGGATGTAAATGCTTTATAGCACCCAGTTTGAGAACCTGTACAGAGATGATAATCACATGATGAGTGTTATGAGAGCAACACGGGTAGGGAGGTCTTCACAACATTGGCTGCACATTAAAACAAGTCTTGACAGGATACTGAGGAAGGGAAGGCCAGATAGAAAAGAACACAGTGCACAAAAGCACAGGATGGAGCATGGTACCTTCAAGCAAATTGCAAGTAGCTCAGTATCATGAGACAAGAAGTAAGAAAGTACATAGAAGGTATACGTAACAAGGTGTATCTCTCTCTGTATTTCAGAGAAAGATTCATAAAAGATCTTGAATGACATGATTGATCTATAAAACAAGTGGTAATTTCAAAGTTATGTAAGGTCTTTGTGATTTTAAAGCCAATTTTCAATAGGGAAAACAAAGACTCTACATTTATCAAAATCTAGCAAACATATGAGATAAACTATTATGGTTGAATCATCACCCATGTGCTATTGAGTTCTTAATGTATTAAATCATACTTTTACAAAATGTTGAGTCATCTTTGAACATTCATTTCAGTACATTAGAAATGATGAGGCAATTTTCCTTGTAAAAAATACCAAGTGAACTAATTTCTGTTTTGGAATAGAAAAATCTTCACATGTGAAGGCAGAACAGTGATATATTATTTTTATATTTTTAAATTTAAGGTTTTATTAGATTTTCCTAACCATTGTAGCTATTCATTATAAAATACTAGAAAGTATAAAAAAATAAAAAGAAAAGTGCACTTAGGCCATATAGGGACAGATGTACATGTTGGTATATTTGTATTTTTTCTAAACACAGTTTACATATTTATAATTAGAGCTTAGTTTTTACATTTTTTCTGTTTTTTAAATTACTTGTAAGCATCCTATTTAAGGACTATTTCCTTTAGTAAATATTCCATAGTTCATGGAACTGTAGACAGGCTTCAGTTTTTTCAGCCATATTTTTAGATGGTTTCTATTTTCTTTGTTATTACAAAATAATGCTTTGTGTAATATGCTTTCAGAATAAGAATTATTGGGTCAAAAAAGGAAGATTATGTTTAAATCTCTTGATGCATTGACATTGCTTCCCAGAACAGTAGGGTAATTTTAATTTTTATTTGGAGTGTATTGAAGGGTTTATTTCTTTAGTTCTTGAGAGCATTCATTTATAAAAGACAGTAACTATAATACTAACTGTGGATTTGATAGTTTAAAATATGAACATATTGTTTTGCTCATAGTTTTAATGGTAAACAGTAGTTAAGTGGCATCTTTCTGTTTAATACCTTGTATAAACAAATGTAAGGATTTTCTCTTGATTTGAAACTTTTTTGTTTTTGAGGTACCCATCACGAATTGAAAAAATCGACTATGAAGAGGGCAAGATGTTAGTCCATTTTGAGCGCTGGAGTCATCGTTATGACGAATGGATTTACTGGGATAGCAATAGATTGCGACCCCTTGAAAGACCTGCACTAAGAAAAGAAGGGCTAAAAGAAGAGGAAGATTTCTTTGTAAGTAGCAGGCATTTTTTGTTTGCCAGTTTTGCTAAATATGTAATGATATATTTTAAAAGTATTCTGTTAAATTCGACAAAAGTCTGTTTTTGTTAAGGAAATGCTTATTTATTATACATGGAATTGATATTACAAGTTGTTTAAAATAGGATTTTAAAGCTGGAGAAGAAGTTCTGGCTCGTTGGACAGACTGTCGCTATTACCCTGCCAAGATTGAAGCAATTAACAAAGAAGGTATGTAGTTGAAATGGTCTGAGAATTAAAATGGGATTGATAGTAAAATTTCACTGTATTTTTAAATTTCATTAATGTATGTAGTTGTTATATGTAGCTTTTACTTTACTTTGTTTTGTATTTTACTGAATTAATTGTCTGCTAGTGTTCTATTTTGGGAGCTAATCTGTCATATATTGTATAAAATAAGGTGGCACATGAATACCAAATAAAGTTAAAAATTTTCAACTTTCAGTTTTTAGATCTATATTGTATGTATTTATTCTGTTTCCTGTATGTGACTGGGTAAGGAAAAATTTAAAATAAAGGGAAATTCAAATCAGTTCAACTTGTGAATGAAATAAGTACAATAATTTTGGAAGAAAAGGTATTGAATGTGAGGATTTTCTTTATTATACATTTCTCCTGTACCCTTTCTTTAGTTACTCTATATAATTGACGTTTATTTTCCTAACAGTCTTGTGTGGAAATTTTTTAGACTATGCCATACTGAGCAAAAGTTACTGAAGTAATCAAAAATGTTGAAAATAACACAGAAATTAGTCCAGCATGTGCTACATACCTGTAGTCCTGCCTCTGTGGGAGACTGAGGCAGGAGGATCACTTGAGCCCAGGATAAATGGGGCCAGCCTGGGCAACATGGCGAGAGTATGTCGAAATGAACAAAACAAACAAACATCTGGGCTGGGAGTATAATTCAATGGTGCAGTGATTGCTAGGATGTGCCAAGCCCTGGGTTCATTCCCCAGCATGGTGAAGAACCAACTAACAGAAATGAACAGCAATCAGTGTCATAGTGTGGCATGAGATTGGGAAACTTTGTAGACAGATATTGAACTTAAAATATATAATTTGTAGCTTGATTAATCTAGAAGCATGAGAATCAGTGCTTAAATTATCATTGAAAATATGCTTAAATATTTTATTTTTAAAAGTTCTCTACAAAAATCTCAATTAAGACAGTTTTGAAATACTTTAAAAAATACGTTTCAAGTCAGGTAAAATTAATTTTCTATTATAGTTTCTTAAATTTGTCAACTTATTAATTTTTTACTAAAGAAACATTGAGCAACAATTTCTTGTCAAGAAGGATCTTTGATTTAAGTAAGGAACACCGCTTTAAACTGAAAGACACATAAGGTAGCTGAAGAAGGGATTAAAGGCTTTTTTGGCAGAAGATAATACATGGAGAAGAAGTGAGAGAGACTTGCTATCTTGAGGAGCTCCAAGTGGTTTGGATAAAGAATTCCTTTATTGGTGGAAGTGAGGAAAGTGGTTGGCAAGAGAGAAACAAGGGTCAGTATATAAGGTATCTTATGATATTGCTGAAGAATTTTGAATTTTATTTGTGGGTGATAGAGCCATGGAATAAATGTAAGCTGAGGGTTTAAAGTAACCATCAAAGATAGAAGAAGAAAACATTTAAAAAGTAATGAATTAAGTAATGTTATATATGAAAAAAAGTCAGTAGTCTAACTCAAAAACATGATGCAACTTTGCAAACATCTTAACCCTGTTTATTGTTTTCATGGATTGAAACCATGGCCGCACCTGTAGTTTTATGAACAGGGTTACCCTACTGCAGGAAGAGTGGAGAGACAGCTATCACTGGTATTGCAGATTATATTTTCTTTTCCATCAAGGTCTGTATCTCCTCATGCACTTACCCTTTATACAGCTGTGTCATGAAGCTTACAGGCCCCAGGATGTTCACAGTGATCCTCTGTGTCCAGTCCAGAATCTAGTACAGAGTAGGGAGTCAGTAACAGTTTTTGGAAGGAAGAAGGGGGGCAAAAAGTAACAAACCTGTTCTTTTAGGTAAAAGGTTCCACTCAAAACAAAACAAAGTCAAATTAAAAATGCCCTCTAATGTTCCTTTAAGTGTGAAAAATCTTGGGATTTTCTTTCATGGTTCAAATTCTAATAACTGAATGCATATGCAATTGTGCATATACACGTGTAAACACATCACACTCACAGCAAGACACCTTTATTCTTTATCCTATCTCATTTATCCATAGGCGTGTAATAAAGAAAATTAAACTTATGTTAGTGGAAGAGTGATAATACTGGTAGGTATTGTGTTTGCTGCCATTTTAGTTCCAATAAATCTTCAGTGAAATATTGGCAACCATTATTTGTTTTATAAAAATCTCCACTAGAAGATTTCTATACATCCTGCAGGGTGGATGAACTTGCCTCTCCCCACTCCTCAAAAAAAAAAAAAAAAAAAAAAAAGTGCAGCAGGCACCAGAAATCTTCAATTCCGTGTAAAAGCAAAAACAAACTAGTAAATATGCACATTTAGGTATTTGAGATACAGCTTATAGAATCCAAGAGTAGGGGCCAATCAGTATGACAAGAGAAGTCAAGGAGGTTTTTCATCTTGGGGATGAACCTTGAAGAATGGGTTGGAGATAGGATGAAGGAAGATGAAAACATCAGAGTGGAGAAAAAGGTATGAGCACCAGCTAGAGGGCCTCGCCAGCAGCCTGGGCTCCTCTGGAATGCCATGTTGAGAAAGGAAGAGGGGGGAGAATTGCAGGAGAGACAGTTGTCAGGTACACCTGCAATTTGACATTCTAAAACATTTTATGTTCTCTTTATATCTGTGCTCATCATCTAGTCAGTTATTTTCATAACTTGAGTTTGGATCTTTGTAATATTTTGCATTATATTAATTGTAGAAAGATATAAAATCAAATGGTGTTATTGAGATTATCAAAAAATAAAAATATTTGCACATATATGCTATTGGGTTTGGTATCAACTCCAAAGCCATTAATAATTATTATCACCTTTCTTGTTTATACTTCTTTGGTAAAGACCAAGTATCTTGACACCCTGCTCTCATTTGGGAAATTATAGAAAAAAACATTTATCTAGAAAATTCTAGAAAAAAACTTTTTTGGATTTCCATAAGTATAAAATCCATGTAATATGTTTCTAGTAGTTCTAACTTCTATAGACTTCAAAGTGTGCGGTCTATAACCAAAAGCTAATGATATTTATGAGTCTTTATGCAAGTGAATTTGCAGCAGAATCTTGAATCCTAATATAGAATGAGTTAGTAGGAAAGATATGAATGGTGAGACAAAATGGGGATGTTTAGCTATGTTGCTGCTTAGCCAACCAGCAGCTGGTGCAGCATTCCATCTTCTTGGAATTCAGGGTCTTGATCTGCATAATGCAACGGTCATCTAGATGATTTGAAAAATGATTTTCTGGCTTAAAAGTCTGTAAATATATAAATCTTTTTTGCTAGTTTGATACTGTTGCCACGGGGATGCTCTTTTTTTGGGAAAATATGATCTTTTCCTATGTCAGAATCTTAATAATTTTGAAAGAAAATTTCCAAGAGAACAAATTCTCATTCCTATGGAAATTCTGTGCTTTTTTGTAAATAACAATTTTATTTTAATCAGAAGTTCAAGCATATTTAAATTATTACAAATAAATTTTAAAATTCTGCAGTAAGAATCAGAATTATAGGCAACTAACTTAACAAGACTTAATTTTTTTTTAAAGGATAATATGAGTTCATAGTTGTTTTTAAAAGGCTAGAGAAAGTAAACTTAGTAAACTTGTTGGAATCCTTAGATGAGTTTTTGTTTGCAGTAGTGTTATCACAGATCATTTATTTTTGTCAGGTTGCTGCTTGTTAGCTTCCAAGTCTTGCTATAAGTTTGCTTGATATTTTCTAATGATTCCAAATTGCTCCTATTTCAGGAACATTCACAGTTCAGTTTTATGATGGTGTAATTCGTTGTTTAAAAAGAATGCACATTAAAGCCATGCCTGAGGATGCTAAGGGGCAGGTAAGAGTGTTCAGTATTCCTAGCTACTCAAAGGGATGGTCTTCTCGAATGGTGACTAATCAAAATATTCAAGTATATTTTAAAAGTGAAATAATTGTAGGGTTATGTGCTGATAGCCCCAAATAGCAGCAAAAAATAAAAATAAAAATAAAAAAAATAAAAGAAGCTTAGAATGTAAAATAAATTATACACTTGATTTTTGCTTCTTTGGTTTTAGACCTGCTAAAGTTATAGGTCACTAGTTTCTGTTCCAGGTGAAATCCCAGCACCCACTAAGCTGGTGTTGTCCTATCGACCCAGCTGGATCGTGTAACCAGTCTATGGGAAGTGAGGTAAGTGCCTTTATTTTAATTTTGTTTTCTTTTATCTGGTGTATAGTATCATTTAGAAAGTTATTTTTTAATACAAAATTTTACATGAGTTTCTTATCTTCTTCTTTCCTTCTACAAATCATAGTCATTCATTTTCCTTTAAAAGGCGCTTACCTGACACTCTGTAGGCTGTTTCAGGTAGGGCTCTCTGAGTCATATGATGGCAGCAGTGTATTATATGGTCTGTCACTGCTCAAAGCAAGAATGAATGGTAAGCATTTGAAGGGAAATCTGGGATGGAGTTAAAACTGTGATTCCATTTGTTGATTATATTTTCTAAGATACTGGAAAGAAAAGGTGCCATTAGAAACAAAGTATTTTCTTTTATGTTCTGCTGTTATTTGGGATGTTCAGCACCTGGACCTACAATTAATTTTAAAAACTTGAAAGTGATCTATAAAATGTCTAATGTGGAAATTTGCAACGTATTTGTTCCCACCTTGCAGCAAAAAGTGCCATCTCGAAATGTGTTTTAGTGACCTGGTCAGTTTCAGCTAAATGTGAACATTTAATAGTCTAGAAATGTATGCCACCAAATTTAAAAAATATATTTTTGAAGAAATCTTCTGAGAAGTGTGATTTTTTTTACATCACCTGGTTTTCAAAAATTTACTTGTGAAATGATAAGCTAGTAGAATTACATATTTATTAATATGTAAATGCAACTTAAAATGAAAATGCTTTTTATCAGGAAATTGTGCTGTGTCCTCCTGTGTGTCATATAAATAAAATGTTCTTTTAAGCTTTCAGTGGTGTGATTTTTGTGGTTACTGCATAGGTTGATTAAAATAATGGCAAAATATTTTAGTATATATCTGTTTAATTAAATAAAAGTCTCATTATGTATATACATATGCTTAAAACATTATTTGTTACTCTGGTTATTCATATGGCATGAAATGTCACTAATGTCACTAATACTCAATTGCCTCAATTGAGTATTGAGCCAGTTTGATCTTGGGGTAAAATTACAGATTGTAAAAATTAAATTTATTGGATGTTTATTTTTATAAGTATTTGACACCATGATGTATGGTAACATTAAAATCAATGGCAAAGTTTAAAATTACTGAAAATATATGGGTAGCAGGATATTTTATTTTTCACTTTTCATACTTCTTTTTTATAAGCAGATTAAAGATAGCTGTAGAATTATTTAAACTGTCCTCCTTTTCTGGGTTTTCCCACCCCTCCATCCCCATCCCCAACAAGTTTTTGACTTATTTTCATCTAGGAAATGGGCAGAAATCAAGGCTAAGACAATTCTGACTCCAACTTTACCTTCCCAATTTTGAGTACTTTATATCTCTATAAAGGGTTATAGAGATATGAAATAATATTTCTTTTACTAAACTAGCATTAAAATAAATACACTGTGAAAATGATCTTCCATAACCTTTCTATAGAACCTTTTTAAAATAAGAAATTATTAACAATAATACTCATATAAATGTCCAAATTAATTAATATTATTCGGCCTGAATAAAAGCTTTAATGCTGTCGTTTCTAACTTTGAACAAGTTGATTAAGGCTAGCTGTAATTCCTTAAAGAGCTTTTAATATTATGATAGATGAAGTGTTTGCTGTTGTCCTTCTTACACTGTATCTGTAGACATTGTTCTCTCAGGGAAAGAAGGTATTGTAGACGTGTTCACTGCCAAAGTAGAATACCTTCTCTTGGCTCCCTTTTCTTTCTTTCTTTTTTTCTTTTCTTTTTTTTTTTTTGTCCACTACATGATTTTTAGTGGAATGTTAATACCAATTATTGAAACAAACATATTTTAGGATGGAGTCTTAGAACAGGGCAAGAACTTGCTCTCTTCTGTTGCCAAAGGTGTGCTTATGTAAAATTTACACTGTAAATTTTGTTTATTTATTTATTGTATTCTCTATTACATTCTTATATGGTTAATTTTATTTGCCTGTGAATTTTTTGGCCAGGACCTGTCTTTTTTTTTTTTTTTTTTTTTAAATCCCCTATTCTTATCTTGAAAACTTAGGTACGTACCTTATATAGCAGGGCCTTCATATGTTAGGTGCAATCACATAATGCTTTCAGTTAATTTCCATCACAGGGGAAAGGGATGGATAGGTTTTGTTTGGTGTTTTTAATGGCTTGTTTATCTTCATATATTTTGAAGACTGAAAAGCCAATAATTTGTGTTGCTTAAGAATGTGTTTTTCCATTACTTGAATTAGGAATTTAATATATTATGCATTTTTTGATGAATCTGAATTGGTCTATCTGAGAGAGCTGAGTGGCCTCAGTGCAAGATGCACTTCACAGACATAGATATTTGTTTTTTAAAAAAGTCTCTGTGAAAATTAAAATATTAGCACTACCTTACATTTCCATATTTATTTCTACATAATTTTAAGAAATTTAGTTAAAAATGAAAGTAAAGTCTGTTTATCAACAGAAAATTAAGAATGATAAAATAAGTTTTTGAGCCAGGTGCGGTGTGGCAGGCCTGTAATCCCAGTGGTTTGGGAGGGTGAGACAGGAGGATCACAAGTTCAAAGCCAGCCTCAGCAGTTTATTGAGGCCCTAAGCAAGTCATCGAGACTCTCTAAGTAAAATATAAAAAAAAAGGTCTGGGGATGTGGCTCAGTGGTAAAAGAACTCTGGTTTCAATTCCTGGTTAAGGAAAAACAAAACAAAACAAAACAATTGTACCTTAGTAGAATGGTAACTACCACACCCAGAAAATAAAAAAAGGAAGAGTAACTAATCTGGAGACTGACAATGTACACTTTACATTGTTTAAGTCATATGGCTCTTTTTTTCCCATCATCAGTAATTTTAATGTTGTGCTAAATTGATTCTAAACTTTAGGAAGTAATGAGATCATATATTGATTTCCATGAAATTGACTGATATGAATGGTATACTCTTCCTAATAAGGAATAGTAATTTCAGCAGTGGGAATGCATTTTTTTTTCATTTTTTCAGGATTGTAATATAAGCATTTTTTAAATGATACGTTGTATTATGAAAAAGAAATGAAATTTAGCATTTTAACCCTAAAATACTAAAAATAGAATGCTATGAAGTATCCATTAATTGCCATAGGCTTTGTATGTTAGGTTTTATTCCCATGAAATATACCAAAGGAACACTTATCCAATATTCTCTTGTTTTTAAGAAGGCTGTGTAATCTAATTAACCCATTAGATTATTAATTTTGATAATCTTCCATGATGATGATCTATAGCATAAATGCAGTTAGCTCAATTTCTCTAGTGTGAAAGTACCTTTGAAAGTGTGATACATGTTTTTATTCATTAGAGTATTACATTTTGATTGATTTTTAATACTTCATGTTTTGTGCTTTTCCTTTGGAGGATTGGATAGCTTTAGTCAAAGCAGCTGCTGCAGCTGCAGCCAAAAATAAAACAGGGAGTAAACCCCGAACCAGTGCTAACAGCAACAAAGAAAAAGAGAAAGAAGAAAGAAAGTGGTTTAAAGTCCCTTCAAAGAAGGAGGAAACTTCAACTCGTATAGCCACACCAGAGGTTGAGAAGAAAGAAGATCTGCCTACATCTAGTGAAACATTTGGTACAAAATGCATTCTTATTTTTCTTCCCAATGACACTGGTAAACTCTTATAGTGAATAATTTCAATTCCTTGACTACCTATAATTTTCAACGTATTAAATTATTAGGCTTTTTTCCCTTAGCAAAATAGTTTGGCAAACTTTCTAAGCAGCATATGGACAGATCTAAAATGTAAAGTTCTAATATCACTATCTGATATTAAATGGTATTAATAGTCTAGAATAGAAGTGAGTTGAAATTTTGATTTGTAACATCTTGGTGTAGTAGGTTTTTGAGTTATTTTGTGTTTTTTTTTCCTTTTTAAATTTTTTTTGCATATATTTCAGTGTGTTGTATGGAAAAAACACTCTTCCCAGTTTTCCTAAAAAACAAAACCAAAAAAAAAAAAACTACTTAGTCTTTTATTTATAATATATCAATGAGGGGGGGTTGTGTTAAAGTTCTAAGGAAACACTAGATTAAAAATATAATATGCAAAGCATTTTTACCATTTAGCTATTTAAAAAAATTATGTGTTTGAATTTTGGATTTTAGATAAATTCTCACATATGTGTTCTGTTAAAAGTAGGACTTCATGTAGAGAACGTTCCAAAGATGATCTTTCCACAGCCAGAGAGCACATTATCAAACAAGAGGAAAAATAACCAAGGCAACTCATTTCAGGCAAAGAGAGCACGACTTAACAAGATTACTGGTAAACTACAATGATTCTTTTTTTGGGGGGATGGAGGGTTTCTTTTTAGAGTAGTTTATTTTTAATAAAGTAAAATGCATCTTTTGGTTCATTGTAAAGAACTGGTGAGTAAGAAAGGCAGTTACTTTTGATCCTTCAAAGTAAATGTCTTTCAATATTGTTGGTTTTTTCTAATGTGGAAAAATAGCAAATATTTTCTACCTACCTCACAGGGGTGTTGTGAGGATATTGATAAGTTCAAATGCTATAAAATCTCCTAGTTTTTAAATCACTTTGGTAGTAGGTATAGTTACTGTAAAAAGCAGATTATTGGCTTTTATCAACCTATGGTGCTAAAATGATCGAAAACACTGATAATCCTAGCCTGTTTGTGTTCATAAAAGAGGAAATTGAAGTATTAGAGTAGGGGCCAATCATACTAGGCCCTGTCTCTTCCAAGGCCTGTTCAAAATAATATTTGTAATCTTTAAAACACTAGTGCACACGTTTTTTTTTTTTTTTTAGTACATGTTAAAGGTGAGTTTAGTTATTTTAATGATATAGTCATATATTCTGTTTTTTAAGACAAAATGGTTTTAGTGCCTTTGGCCTAATAAAGTTATATAAATCTTTGTTGGCATTTATTTAAATATTTTGAAGAAGCTTAATTTTATTGTCAAACCTAGAAGTAAAAATAAATTACACATTTTGAACATTTTCTCAAGAGAAGAAGCCTACCGAAAGTTGACTTCAAAAGTGAGGGTTCCTTATAACCACTCTTGAATTATTGTGTTCATCTACATGGTTATAATTGGTTTTAACAGGTGAGGATATTTTGTCTCTTGCTACTTGTTTATATTATTTTCATGCCTTTCTCTGATATAGGGCTTATTGTCTCCCAGGACAGGAATATTTCAAATCATTTCACCCATTAAACCCTTTCTTTAGAAACTGTTAGCCTGGGAGAAAGCAAAAATATTTTCTAAGTTATTGTTCTGATGGCAACTTGAGATTTCAGTTTTGTCTTGAAATTTGAACCCCAGTGCTCATGCAGGGCAGAAGTGGGATAGTACTTCTAACTCCCTGGATACAAAGATTGAAACAGCTCTACGGGAGGAGTGGAGATGGAGGAAGACAGAAGTGGTGCTGACAGGATTCGACTGCCACTTACCAGCCTTGTTTGTTTCCTTCAGTCTGGATAACCTGCTTTAAGTTTCAGTCAATATACTTTTACATATGCCTCTTCTATAGGCCTTACTGGGAGGATCAAGCTCAACATTTTAAAGAAATAAAAAAGAAAACAGCTACATTATCTCTGCACGGTCTTGGGAACACAGTAGTTGGGGAGAAAAAGAAATATTTTACCATGTGCTTCAAGTTATGATCCTGGTTGCTTAGAAATGCCCTGTGCCTTTTTGTGGAGGGATTTTTCTCTTCACTTTTCCTTGGGAATCTCAAGTGTGACTGTTTGGCAGCAACCACAGTACAGCATAAGATCTTAAGAATGTAAAGCCATTATGATCTTTTCCCTTTATTTACTCAGAAGATTTAAGTGTATGATGTTCCTTTTGGTCATTCATCTCTTTTCATCTGTTTTTGATTTCATGTTATAACTGTTATCCTGCAAAAAGACAATAGGTATTGTAAGATTGTCTTCAATGCTTGAAAACTTAGGCTGGCCTCTGTACAATAAATTTCATTTGTGGTCCATAAATAGAAATGAGAACTAATAGACAGCTATTTTGTTTTGGAATAATGGTATATTTTAAACTTATCAATCTTATCTATGTGTTTCCTTTTTTCCCTTTAATACTAAGGGGAAGTGGAATTAGGATCATGATTTCTTGATCTTTCCCACACTCCATTTCATTTTACTATTTTAGGTAGGTCTAGCTAAAAATAGGTGGATACATTTAATTCTGTATTTATGCACTCTTTTTATTCTCTTTCCCCACATACATACCCTACAGTTTATCTAAACCTGATTTCTGTATAGAGAATGATATAAGAATCGCTTTTATCAAAATTTCCTAAGAAGTTTTGAGATCTTTAAGCTACAGTCACAATATATAAATATATACATTATATATTGTATATATCATATATTTCATAGCATATTATATATGTTACATTGTTACATTGTTATATATATATTACATATAACATACTTTTTTTCATTCTTTCAGGATCTTTTTTTTCATTCTGCCATGTATCGATATTATATGCTATATGCATATTGATTTAAAATAGACAATTTTACACAGAAAATTGGGAATCTAGACCTGTTGGGAACAAAATTTCAAGCAAACTGAATTTGAGTCTATTTAAATATAGAAATTGTCAAGGGATATAAGAGGAAACAACAGCAGTTTGTACAGTTCCTAATCATTCATAGGAGTTTCTGAAAGCTCTGCCTGTTTAGATATCTTTGTGCAGCATAATAAGTTTTGAAATAATTTTTAAAAACCCAGGGTTTGAATTGACCAGTAATATCTTACAATAATATCCATCCAGATATCTTTGATGAGAACAAAAAGATGTTTTGAAATCCCTGGATGAAAAGTAGATCAAAAGTGTAACCACTTTGCTCTTGCTTGTACTCCCCTTGGCATTCCAGGGACCACTGATGTATTCTATTTATTCCTGTTGGTACGCTGAGACCCACACATGTGTTTTATCACCGATTATAGTGTTGTGAAGTTGTGACTTTATGGGTGAAACTCATCTATTTTATTAAATAGAAATGAATTCTGTTTCTATTTAATGATTAATACCATGAAACTGCATTCATTTGGGATATTCTTCTGTAGGAATATATACTGATAATAAGTATTGCTAATTATTGAAATTAATCTCACTTGTATATATTTCCCTTCAGTTAACTCTCATTTTCTATTGATACTACATTTCTTCCTAGAATATTAGCAGGTCAAGGTAACAGGTTCTGGACTGCCTCTTAAAGCAGATATAAGACTCCTCTCTTTAAGCATATGTTTTATTATTTATCCTCTTTTGTTGTTTGTATTTAGTAATAATAAGTTATTATGTATATAAAGTATTACAAAATTTTATTGTTCATACTTGGGCTTTTGAATTCTCTACATGCCAAGTATTCTTTTAGTCTATTTTAAGTAGTTTTCTTAAATATCCTGTTACATTCTAAGAGCACATTATAGGGCTTTATTTTTCCTTCCCAAACCAACACATGGGAAGGGTTTGGACTTAATTGGGCCTGTACTGTCTAATGTAAATTCACAGGTTAAAGCTGAATTGTTTGGTTTACTTTTAACTTTATAGTTATGATTCATCCCATTTATTCATGAGTATTAAAAGCTCTCTCTACCATCTATACTAAAGGAAATAAAAGATATAATTATTTGATATGATAACTAGCAAATATTTGTTCTGTTTAAATAGTCCTTAGAAATAGAACCTCTGCTAAGTTCTTTGACAAAACTTGGTTCCCTAATTCTTATTCTTTAATTTCAATCATTCATTGATTAGCTTGAGAAGAAAAACCTAGTGAATACAGTTTTAATTGTTAAAGAAATATTCCATGGTAAATCCTTTTTAGTCATGTAAAAATATTTTCAGAATTAGATTGAAGTTACAGTTTAAAAACTTTTTTGTAAAATTGTTTACACCATTATTTTTCCCATTTAAATCTACATTTTATGTCATATGAGACAGAAACAAGCTATGTAGGTGGTTATCTCATGGCCCATGTTCCCTGTGGATAGTTCTGTGTTATATAATATTTGGGGCAATTTTTCCTCCTGTGAAATGATGTTGTAGACAACTTTAGTAAATAAAGGTGGTATAATTGCTGTAATAAATTTAATATTGTCAGTTTTTAGAAAGTCTTCTTTTGAACCAATGATTTTGAGTGGCCAAATGATTTTTGGTAAGCATTTATCAGTAGTGTGGCCATAAACAAAAACACAACTTTTTATGGAGAGCTTATAAACTCAGCCTCATTGAACGTGCTGACAGACTTAGCAAAGAAATTTTAACCAAGTAAATGTCTAAAATTTATTAATTAGAGTTATGTTTTGTGTGTGTATATCTGCACATACACACATATATATGTCGTAAATAAAGTATTCTGGCTTCTAAAATTGAGAATTAGTGGTATATTATATTGGAGTAAACTGGAACTTACAATTTCTTTCATCATTTGTAGAATAAAGCTATAATTCAGATATTGTATGAAGGATCTACACTTGTTTTTCTCTTAATGGAAAATGAATTTTCCAGTGGTTTTGAAACTTGGAAGAAAAGATACAACTGGGCGCAGAAATAATAAATACATCAACTTAAAGGAGCTCAGTGAAATAAAAAATTTGGGACATTTTTAGCTAATAATACAATAAAGTTATTTCATATTCTAGTCTGTTTTGTGAGTATTAGCCATCTAAGAAATCTTAATGTGGATTTTTTAAGCCATGAAATTTAAGATTGGTACAAAATAAGTGTGTGTGTGTGTGTGTGTGTGTGTGTGTGTGTAAGGATCTCCAGAGTCATTTAAAAATTCTTCACCCCTACGCGATCAACTCTTATGATTCAGTGCCTTACTTACTATTAAAGATATTTGCATTTTTGAAAAGTAAACATTGGAAAGATTTACTTCCTATGTATTAAAAAAGTACAGGAAATCTCAACTGCTAAAATTTTTGAGAAGTTAATGAGGGTGAAAACAATATTTTTTCTAATAAGACATCTCTACAATTTTTCTCAAGGTTTGTTGGCATCCAAAGCTGTTGGGGTGGATGGTGCTGAAAAAAAAGAAGACTACAATGAAACAGCTCCAATGCTGGAGCAGGTATGAAATGGTAGCATTTGATTTTTTTCAAGGTTCCCACTGGAATGATCACGGAGCTGTAGTATCCACGTAATTGACATTGCCCTTTTGATTATATATGGGAATAGGAAACTAATTAATTGATGATACATTTTTAACTCTGCCTTCTCCAAGGTATTATACAGATAAACTACAGACTTCATTAGAGCTTGTTTTCAATAGACTGGCACTAAAGCCTTTGTCTCCAAAATTTGAAGGTCTGGAGACAGGCATCCCAGGGTATATGCTTCCAGCTGGATCACCTTTAAATAGCTTATAAAAAGACCCTTACACAAATACTTTTCATTTGTGAGTTAAAACAGGGTTTTTTGACATCAAATAAAGCTTCTTTTGTAAGAAGTTTCTTTTATATTGTAATAATTGGTGTTGTTAGACTATGTGTTTTATGAATTGATCAATGAGCCATACATTTTTGCTAGGATGTATATTTTAATAACTACAATAAAAAAGAGAGTTTAAAAAACTATTAAGGGTCTGTCTTTAACCACCTAATAGAGGGATTTAAAAGTGAAGGTTGCATTTGCTAGATTTTGCCTTGGCTACCTTCGGTTTCCCACAATACCTGTACATACTGAAATGTGCATGCTTTAACATTCTCGAAGGGCTTAACTTCTTAGGCACTGTAAGACTATAAGAACACAGTAATAGCCATAAATGGATTTCCTTGGTTCTCCTGTTTTAAAATCTGAGCCTTAATGTAGTTTTAATATATCCTTTTTGTATTATTTTGATTTTCTTTATTAGTAGCCTAATAAAGAATACTTTAAAATGAGTACCTTTTGCTATTCTCTATATGCGTTTTAAAGAACAGTCCAAATTTAATTGATATTGTATTGAGTTTTTCAGTGTTATTTTAGGCCTGGTTTGATAACAGTGCATTGTTTTGGTGCCTCCTTTAATGTTGTATTAAATCAATCACCTTTTCCATTGATTAATATGTCAATGACTCATACCTTCTGATTTTTTGTGATCAGCAAACGGTTAAGTCTTTGCCGTTATTGTCAGTATATAAGCCAAATTTTAAATGACTTTTTTTTTACTGTGTATTACTATATTCAACGTCCCAGATATAACAATATTTTGTGCTTTCACCACTGTTATGGTATCTTCAGAATGCAATATATCAGGGACTTGGGTAATAAAATGTTTCTGGAAAATTCATTACAATGTCAATCTTTCATTATGCACAATCCTGTGAGGTGAATATGATTGTGAAAATTACTTATGTGGAAGTGAGGTAGAGAACAACACCCATTTCAGAGAGAAGTACAGAAAATGATATTTTGATATTGAGTTAAAAAGGAAATAGAGGAAAATGGAATAACTCGGCTGTTTGTATTTCCATAATTAAAAATAGTTTTTTGAAAGCTCTTTGCCAGTTTTGTAACAGAGACCAATAATTAAAACTTTGTAAATTATTTTAGATTTTAAGGAACATCATGCTGTTCCTCATTTTTTGTCATTCAGGTTGATTTCAGTGTGAAAATGTTTTATAACTAAACTGTTACTTTTTATTCTACATGTTAGCCCTGCTTCAGGGTTAAAAAGCCGAGTTATACAGCTCTTAATTACATCTCATTTGGTATCAACAATAGTGCTACAGGGAGGTGTTGATTGTCACCAACTTCTATTGTCCTAATGAGTCAAAATATTGTCAAAATATTGTCACTCATGACAGGTTGATAACAGGCCTATAGCCAGAATTTACTGTGCTAATGGATTTATTTTATTTATATTTTTACAACATTCAAACTTTGGTCTTGAACCCCATTCTCAGATTATTAATCACACATTATTTAATTGTATTAGGGAAATGTCATGTTATATTTACTTTGGGATAAAATTTGCATTAGATGCATAATAATTCAGTAAGTTTTAAAAAATGTTAATCTGTCCTTGTTTAGAAGTTAAGCATCTTATCAAGATATTAATTTAAGTTTAAAAATCTTGTTTTATAACTTTGTAACTCAAGAGTAATGGATGCTGTAGTGATGTCTTTCACATATGTGAAGATGAACAATAAAATTGTTTATTTACAAGTAATGGCTCTAATTACTTTTCTGGCAACACCTTTTATGATGAGTTTAGGAATATTTCTCATTTATAGAGTACTTTTTGAAATGACTAATACCACTTATACACATGTATAATGAGTAAATCCAAGAATAGAAATGATGATAACGGAATGAGTGGGACCCTTGACAGCAGGCCTTTCTTGTGGTATGTCCAGCATGCCATCTGTAAAGCATCCAGCAGTGCCCTACATAACCAGATGTACACTTTTTCCCACCAAAATTTAAGTGACATTTACTTTAATGGGAACAGAATTATTAATTTGGTCCCCAGGCAATAATCTTTCATATTCCAGAGAACTGCAGACTACAAATTTGATGGTCAGCCCTCCCAAAATACATGGAAGTCAAAAGCATTCTTGGGAACAAGCATGTTGCTCATGGTATTAGTTAACAGCTTTGCAATTTTACTCCTTTTAATGGCCTGTCATGGAATGGATTTTTTTAAAGTGTATCATTTGTTTGTTCTCAGATACCTGTTATCAGAAATAGAGAATATAGGCATTCCTCACAATAGGGTACAAACCCATCCAATGTGGCTATTTTCTGTTATCTTTGAACAGTGAACACATTCACACATTTTTGCATATGTAGAAAATTTTACTGCCAAGTGAATAAAAATATTCTTTATGAAAGAACTGACACAGTTCTAATTTTTTTTTAAAAGTATCAGTTGGCAGGAAGAAGGTAAAAATTCTCATCTAAGAATGCGACGTATTTTGTTTTAAAATCCAATGTTTTTAACTTACACTTTATCTCTTTGGTTTTTTTTTGTTGTTGTTGTTGCTTGTTTTGTATTGTTTTTTAGTCTTTTAACTCTCTATTGCTGGTGGCTCTGATTTCATGATGCATTATGCTTATGAAACTCTAGCTTTCAGCATTAAAATGAGTTAAAGATAATGTTTCGTTAATTTGGTCATTGTTTTCCTGTTGAGATCTTTCTTTAAAGGGAAACTGTCTACTTAAGGGAAATGTCCACATTCAACTTTTTAAATTGAATTATTTTATAGGAAAAATCTGAAAGTCAAAAGTTTGAATGTATTTCTCTGATTCTCCAAAAGTGATACTGCTGCTTATTTACCTAATGATTATTAATGCCATAAGACAATGTTTGATACTCTGAGAGTATTACGGATAGTACGTTAAAATTTAAGGTGAAAAGTCGACAGTATCCCTTTAAAGACAGCCAATTCAACTTTTAGTTTATAATTTGTGGGGTTCTTTTTGGTTTTTCATTTGTAATAGAAATGTTATATGTTGCTTAACAATGTTTTTGGATACTAAAGTTGCTTAACAATCAAAATAGAATACAAGAACAAAAATGAAGAAACCAAAATAAAAATATCAATTTTTTATTATTCATTCAGGCGATTTCACCTAAACCTCAAAGTCAGAAAAAAAATGAAGCTGACATTAGCAGTTCTGCCAACACTCAGAAACCTGCACTGTTATCCTCAACTTTGTCTTCAGGGAAGGCTCGCAGCAAGAAATGCAAACATGAATCTGGAGATTCTTCTGGGTGTATAAAACCCCCTAAATCACCACTTTCCCCAGAATTAATACAAGTCGAGGATTTGACGCTTGTATCTCAGCTTTCTTCTTCAGTGATAAATAAAACTAGTGAGCACAGATTTTTAAAAAATAGTTACTTATCCTATAAGATACATTAAAAAGTTTGATTGTAGTTATATTGTATTTTTATGAAGTTGTTTTGAAAATTTCAAACTTAAATGCGTATGATAGGAAAGGCTGCAAACTATTTCAGGGGCAAAAATCGTAGACATTTCTTATGATTTATTGTTCAGAGACTGTACTACTGGTTCTGCTGGTTGAGAAACCTTACATCTTAGTAACCCAAATTCCACTGCAGTTGCACTCTCCTCAACTAATAATCCAAGCTCAATGAGGCCTGATTCATTACAAAAAACAAACAAACCAAACCTACTCTTCCCCCAAAAACAGAGATAAAGAAAGGCCCATGTAGATATTTTTACTTAACTCATAACACTATTCCTATGGATAGGTTTAGTTAGTATCCCCACCTATCTATAATCTTCTGAAATACATTTTATTTATTTTTGTTAACGGTGCAGACTTGAATTTGGTCTTTTTAATGAAATGAGAAGAATGCCTCCTTGACTATATTTTTAAAGATTTTGCTGTTTCAGTACTACTGATCTTTTAAGAATTAACTTAGTCTTCTGAAAAAGTCTTCTTTCAACATGGATTTGGTTATATACGAGACAAAATTTATGTAGAGCCAGAGTTTCTCATATTAGTTTCATATTTCAGGCTAGAGATGTAAAAAGCAGTTATTTGGAAAGTTACTGGGTAAATGACACTTTTCTTTAGCTCTTTATAACAACAAATGAATTAATAACATCATCAATAAATGAATATGATACATTTCCTTATGATCTATTCCACATTGTGCCTTAAGAACAAAGATGTTGGCATTGAGAAAACTTTTGATCGATTAAACATAGTAACCTCTTTTCCAGTAATTTGCCATATTTTTCAATTTGGGATCAAAATTTATTTTTTGTCTTTGTTTTTGCTTTGTTCTTTAAATGAGTCAGAAGAAAGGATGGGAACAAAAACTAAAGTGTTTCCTCGCAATCTTCATTCCAGTATGGCACTTATATAATAATGTCACTAGAAGCACTTTATTTTGAAATTGCTTTATATCTTAGTATTATGACCATACTATCATAGCAATTGAATTATATTCTTAATTTCTTTCCCATTATCACAATATCTTTTTCATTTTGATTGTTACAAATTTTTCTTAAATATCCAAAATATCAACTTCTTTATACCACTCTTTTTTCTAAATTAGCATGAGTATATTGGCCTACATAATTCTGCCTATTCAAACCATTCTGTATGCCAAGTAAGAATAAGAAGAAATCTCAAATAAAAAAAAAAAGGGAGATTTCCAAACATTTGTATTATATTGTTAAAAGACATTTGAATGACTATGTAAGTTGTTAAAAAAAAAAGGGCAAGAATAGTGTCATGCTCTTTTAAAAATTCTCATTATTTGCTCAAAATGAATAATTTGTTTGTGTTCATTTTTTTTTTTAATGAATCAGGCCCAGACATATATTTATAAAAAATCCATTTGGGGGGATGAAGATGGGATAGTTATTTACGTTAGTTTTCCTTTATCAGGAAAATTAAAACACTGAATATAATGTGTCTTAAGAATTTTGTCTCCTCTGTCCCCTGCCTTTTTTTTTTCCCTTAGATTGTCTAGATTTGGAATGTAGCAAAAGAGTATATATACATATAAAAGATATATACGTGTATATATCTCGTGCTTTTGCTATAAAGAGACTACTTTCCCAAAGGAAAAATGGGAATTTACACAGTGATCTGCAGTTAGAGAATTGACTATAGTCTGTCACTGGGGGGAGCAACTTGAAATTAGTTTCCATTTTATTTTCCTTTAGTTGAGATTTTAGAATTTTTGATTAACTCATTTTGTGAATACGGCACACTTTTTGCCTTTGATTACTTTTGGAACATGCCATTCCTTGTGGATATCTTGTAACAACTCCAAAGGGCAGAATGTGAATAATTTTTCCCATTTATCTCCTTAAATATTATAAGATGATACTGGTATGTATCTGCTTCGTGAACATTGAAGATCTTTTTCTAGGTCCTCCACAGCCTGTGAATCCCCCTAGACCTTGCAAGCATAGTGAGCGGAGAAGAAGATCTCAGCGGTTAGCCACCTTACCCATGCCTGATGATTCTGTAGAAAAGGTTTCTTCTCCCTCTCCAGCCACTGATGGAAAAGTATTGTCCATCAGTTCTCAGAATCAGCAAGAGTCTTCAGTACCAGAGGGTAAAGTATATTGATTTCCTATAGAACCAAACATAAAGGAAGATAAAGAAAAAACTAAAATATAAAGATTATTAGAATGTTAAAAATTTCTGCTTTTCCTTTCTTACATCTTTTAGGATTTATAAGCACTTTATTCTACAAATATTATCAGGTGCCTTCTTTGTGCCAGGCATATTTAAATACCACTAATCCGTATTGATAGTAATGGGGCCATTTTCTCTATGTTAATATTATGTTACATTCTTTATTTTATGTAGTGCCTGATGTTGTACATTTACCACTTGAGAAGATGGGGCCCTGTCTCCCTCTTGACTTAAGTCGTGGTTCAGAAGTTGCAGTGCCACTAGCCCCCAATTCATCTCTCCACAATGAATGTTCCAGGGCGGAAAAGGAAGATATACAGAGGCTTGGCAATCATTCTTCCAAAGCAGTGACTGATGGGCGAGGAGCTCCAGCAGCAGCAGGTATGGAGAACTTACAACAGGCTCGCTGTGACTGGATATAAGCATTTTCATTCCTAGATGATTTCTTTTCATAAATACCTACAGGTAATATATGGAGGATAGTTTCTGTTGGTTTAAAATTTCTTTGATGAGATCACTTTCTTTATCATTATTCCCTGGACTTGTTTCTTTCCTTGTCACTCATAGCTTTTACTTGCTTCTTTCTTATATATTTACTTCTAATTAGAATTATTAGAGCTCATTATAATTAAGGAAATTCTGACTTTGGGAACTAGAAGTTACTTAATGGGATCAAATCTTAGGTTTGAAGACTTTAATAGAATTTAATAATTAAGAGGCACTTAATTTGAATTTAACCTAATACCTGTATCTTACCTATAATTCCATAGTTAGGAGCAGAATCCCCAGATACAGTGCAATTTGTCATTGTTATTTGGGGAGTCTAATATGTAAAATCAGAATGCTTAATAGTTTTTGGATGATTTTCTATTTTTTTTTGGTAATCTGAAAGCATATTTGGAGGTATTTTATCAAGTTGAGTTTCTAAATCTAACAGTGTTAATTCATAATTTCCATATATGGTTGCATTATTTTATTTATAAGTTTCACAGAATTATAACCATGTGAAGAATATGTGTGTGTGTAAGCTTTTTAAAAAGCAAATACTAGTTTCAGATGTTTTTCTAGTAAATTATTGATTTGGAGTTGGATAGGTGAAAGAGGTCTGACTTGAGTCAGTTCTGAAGTGGAGAACATAGAGCAGTTTTTTGATTTGCAGCCAGGTGTATTGGTGATAATGGTATTTAACAGCATCTTGCATGAAACCACTTTATCAGCTCCTTAGATGAAGTGTGAGGCTTGATGCTACTTGCTCTTTTCTAGTTGTGGTGTATATTGAAATAAAATGATAGAGGTGACTTGAGAAACATATACTTATTCTGAATTTATTGCCTTTAATTCTTTCAAAGTAAAGATGTTACTATTAAATATACAATATTTACAATTCTACTTTATCTATAAAGATTAAAGTATTTTACACATGATAGTTTTTCCTTATTTTGTTTTAAAATAAAACAGGAATCACATCTGAAGACTTGAAAGTTTTGAAATATTTCCTATGATTTCTTAAATATGGTCCATTGTCTTTGGACATTTTTTTTCTAAGTTTGTTTTTTTCTTAGGGCACTTAATTTTTCTTTTCCCCCTTTCCACAATATTTCTTAATTATCATTAACCTTTTGGGATATTTTTCCTGATGAAGGTCTTATGTAATTTTTTTAACATTCTGTCACTTGTTACTGTATCAAATAGATGAAAAAACATGTTGAATTTATAATGATATGTATCCATTGGAAAAAGTTATTTTTAGATGTGCACGTGAAAATATATTTTTCTTGACATAAGAATTTTCTGATACTAGTAAGACTGAACTATAGATCAATACAAGTGGCTATACAATTATTAAGAGTATTATGTTACCCAGATTATACATATCCTAAAATATCAGAGTGATAATTATGCATGGAAATGTTTTACCCAGGTGATTCTGCTCGTAATTAACTTAGTCTCTGTTTTTTCCCCAAATTTTGAGCATATTTATAGAGATGCACCTGACTACCTTGGGATGTGGTTCTTATTCTTCATCGTGGTTAAAATATACTGGGTAGAGGGAATACACTCCAGTCTTTATTTCCTTTTTAAATAAAAATTAGTAACTATTTTGGGAGGAAATGTAGTAAGATAGTTTCCTGGGAAAGTGGAGAGAAGTTTAGATTTGTCATGTGATGGATCTTTAGATGTGTTCGTGGAAGACCCTCTGGCAGTTGGCACTTTAATTGCTTACATCAAGTAAGCAATGCATGGTCTTAAATGTTAATTACTGAAAGTAAGTTTAACTAAAGGATTATACATAGTATTTTAATTTGTTTCTGTGACCACTTTTTAAATTTTTTATCTTTTGATGGAAGTAATGAAATTTAAGTCACATTCTAATTGGACAGCTTTTGATTAAAAAATATTAGCCTGTTTTGCTTGCATTGAAGTTATAAGTGATTTGCATGCTTTTTGCAATATTTTTGCCATCTACCCTCTCTACACTCTTTTGTAGTATTTTGGAGTTCTTCTGCCTTCCAACTTAGTTTTAGAGTTGAGACACTAAGTTTTTATGTTATTGTTCTTTATATATATTTGGTCGGTTGTTATTCATCTAATTTTTAAAAGAAATTTGGTTATTCTTTAATTTTAAAGCTTTTCTAGAAAGCATTATGTACTATAACACATCAGTGGCATTTTCTGCGTGGTTTTTGTTAATTTGAAACTCCTGAGGAATTTAGAATGATGAGAATATTAATTGATAACTGGGAAGTAGCTCAGCAAACAGGTCTTTTTTGTGTACAAGACACATGAGCAATGCTTAGCTTAGCAGTGGTGCTGAAGTAGATGAAGTTATGCAAATGATCCAATCATTATATATACCTGTTCATAACAGGTTAAAATTTTGTTTTTCATTATTTTTCCAGTAGAGATAATGCATTTGCACTAATCCATCTACATTCTTCCACTGGGATGGATGGTAACATGACTAACCAAGGTTAGGAATACTTATGTTGTCCACATTAGCAAAAAAGAGTGATTGTAAATTTGTAAAACATTGATTTGGAAAACATTTATTTTCATTTTATTTGTCAGAGTGCTTTATTTAACAGAGCCAAACAATTTGAGGTATGGATACAGTCTTAGAAGAATTTAATTTTGTTAATGTCTGGGAATATAGAGTAGATCAAGTTTTTTAAAAGTTCCCTTTTGTAAAAAACAAAATAAAAACAAAAAAAATTTTCTTGTCTTCTAAGGGATCTTAGGTCCACATATATCTATTCTTCATCAAAATGTTTTCAGGTAGGGAACACTATACATGCACAAGATACATAATGTGCCCTAAGGAATTTGAGATCTACAAGTGACATAAAGCTAAAAATGAATAGTAACAACAATTTTAATGTAAGATGTAAATCACTTAAGATCTATACGAGTACTGTTTGATAAAAGAAGAAAAGATTGTTCTTAGGAGGCTTTAGGCTGAGAGACGGCTTTTTAGGTGATCTTGGCTAGGTTGACAGTAAATCCACAGAGCAGTGCTGGAGGAACCACCCACCTGCCCTGTCTTCTTACTTTCTTTAAGCAAAAATTAAACAGATCAGCCTCCTTGAAACTCAACTTTTCATGTGTATGAAGTCTGTGGTCACTTTGGGCTCGAAAATTCTGAACATTTATCATACCATTAATGAATTAATTGATGAAGCCCAACTTTATGTCAAAGAAAACATCGTGATATGTTAGGATTATTAATTTTCATCTATTCTTAGAAATGATCATATTCTGTAAAGACATAATTGGGATTGTAAATTGTATGAAAATTATATGAATATAGTTTTAAATTTTTTAGTTATAGCCCTGATTTGAAAGAAATACCTCTAGTAACAGATCTTCATTTTCCTCATTTTTGAGCAAGATAGTATATAAATATGGGATATTTAGGTCTGTTTATCACAGACTATTTTAGTTAATGTGGATATAAACATTGGATTAACATGTGTATATGAAGAATGTACCTGTATAACCTTATCAGGATGTTCATTATCAAGCCAGTAAATATTAGGTAATTTGATTTAGTTTAGTTTTAGCTGAAATTCATTAAACTTTTCTTCATTTTCATTCAAAGTCATATCTTGAATTAGTTTTTAAATGAAATGTTGATAAGAGTAAGTAAATAAATATGTAAATTTCTCATTATAGTTAAAATAGTCCAGCTCTTCTTAGTAAATCCCCTTATAAAGAGCTTGTGAATTATATTAATGATTGGTTAACATACTTTTTTTCACTAAGGAAAAAACACATGTAGGTTTTATTAATATAGAGGTTATTTAATATTGTATAATATATTTAATGTAGGGATTATTAGTCTGAGTTAGTGTTATAAAAAAGCATGACAGAAAGAACCTAAAGTGACATTGGCTGGTTTTAAAATGGCCTTAATTTCTATCCCAACATTAACTGTGAATTTACTAAGAGCCTTTTTGTTTTAAATTGTTTTTTAACTTATCAGAATTGTTAAAACTACAACTGCAGACCCCATGATCTATCTCTACCCCTACCACAAATGTTTCTGGCTTCTACAGAGTGTGGAGTCGTTTCTTTTTTAAACTGAAGAGTCCGGGCTGGAAAGGGCTTGAGAAATCACTCTACATTTCTGATTTAGAAATTGTGTGTAAGCAGGTGTGATTCAGAGTTCTACCTCTTTTACTTCAAAGTAGCTCCGTTTGTTTTTTGCTTTTTTGTTTATATATTAGACTTCTACATAATAGTTTATTTGAAGAAAATGTTGTGTTGATAAAATTTAGTTTAAAAATCATAATATATTAATGTTCTAGTACTCAGGTTTTCAAATTCTGGTGTATTGAAATAAAAGCATTATAGTGAATTTCTTAGAAAACTAGGTATATATTTTGTTGAGTTCTAGAATAGGTCTATTTTGTTTATTTGTGTGTAAGTATCAAAATTCTAGTCAGTATTTTATTTCTGAATATTTATTTTAATATCCTTACTTGTGTAAAATGTCAACAACCCTTGACCAGTTCCCCAATTTCACTTTTGAAATTTTTCTACTTAACAATATCTAAAAGGTTTTGGTAGCCACTGGAACATGTGAAAACCAACTCTGGAACTAGCTCTTCTGAAAGCATTCTGAGATTGACTGCATCAGTTCTCCTGTACTGTTCATTGTTCTGAAGTAATGGTCCATAGCCACTGCATTTATCTTTCATGTGCTGGTGGGGTAAAGTGGAGCATATTATGGTCAGTGAAGTGGCCCAATAAGACAGTTCATTTGGTCTCATACCCCACTCCACCCCAGGACATCTCAAATTGCTCCATCTCTTGGCCTGGATATCCAGAGCTCCAGAGAAGGAAAAGCCTAAGAGCCAGTAGTCATTGTCAAGTACTGCTTCTGAATGTATCTGTGCCCACTGAGAACTTAGAAACCACATGTCTTATTTTTTGAATCATAAATGCTTTCCCATTTTCAAAAAAATATTGCCTAATGAGGTTTCCAAGATGCCAGGATTAGTAAAAAGAAACTGATTTGTTCAAAAGTCTTGATAATAAGGAAATGTAATTGTATTTCTCTCTGCTCTGATGTCCCTTTTATTTTCTGTGTTGTAAAAAATGAGATTACCACTATTCTTATTAATTTGAAACTTTATTAAAGCCTTATTGGTATATATATATATATATATATATATATATATATATATATATATATATATATATATAATTTGAGTGATATTTTTATATTTTGTGTTTAAATTATGTAAAGTATTTAAAATAAGATGAATGAAATGCTATTTTGATACCATTATAGATTATTTTTTATTTTTTAAAAATAAAAAAACTAATAAATGGAGATGATATTATTGCATAACTTAATAAACCAAAATAATACTGTAAATGCACCATAGTGTATTGCTTAGATTAACCCTAACCACAAATAAGGTGTCAGTATTGGGAATGACTAAATATGAGTTGAGAAGCTTGGTTGAAGGTATCTGTTTTAGTTAGCTACCCTGTTATGGAGGTACAATATTGGTTTAAAAATGTATTTTGGACTATTAGATAATATTACCTAAGTGACATTAAGATTGACTACTTTTATGTGTGAACATTCCCTTGTGTTTACCTTTATATGTGGACCAAAAATAATTTGCTGAATAGTTCTGTTTTGGCTATTATTATCTAACAAATCATGATGAAATTCAGAGGAATAAGTTTGTTTAAGGCAAGAAGAGGTTAAATATTAGCTTAAAAATCTTACATAGTTTGTTGAAAAATGGTGTATTTTAACGTGAAGTTTAATATATTTCATTTGGATAGCCTGAGTAGCATTCATGTCAGAACTACAGAAGCAGAAATGGTACGTGGATCCACTGTTCAAATGTATTTTGGCACCTTCAAGATTGCCAAAGGCTGTGGTGCTATAGCAGACTTTTACTGGTGGCTTCAGACAGTTATCTTCATTGATGCTTATGGTTATTAGTAATGCTATTTCTTGAAATGCTGTTGTCTCAAAGTATTACCCTACTACAAAAGAGAATGTGAGAAAGAGTACTTATTTACTAGGCACTGGTCTGAGCATTTCACATATTTTGATTCACATAATCGTGATAAAAACACAGGTAGATCTTTATGTTTGACAAATAAGAAAACTGAAGTACAGAGACATTAAATGACATACTCAAGGCCTTATCTCTTAGAATATCATAGAACCAGCATTGACACTGGGTAGTCTCAGGGAGCAAAAAATGACCCTTAACTTACTGGTTTTTGAAAGCAAGAAATTCCACCTTATTTCTTATTCTGGCAGTAAAATAACGTGGATCTTTAGAAACAAAGAATCTTGTATAGAGTTTTTTTTTTTTAATTTTTTTTTATTTTTTTCTTATTGGTTGTTCAAAACCTTACAAAGCTCTTGACATATCATATTTCATACATTAGATTCAAGTGGGTTATGAACTCCCATTTTTACCCTAAATACAGATTGCAGAATCACATCGGTTACACATCCACATTTTTACATAACGCCATATTAGTAACTGTTGTATTTGCTACCTTTCCTATCCTCTACTATCCCCCCTCCCCTCCCCTCCCATCTTCTCTCTCTACGCCATCTACTGTAATTCATTTGTGTAGAGTTTTGTGAGCAATTATAATTGAAATCATTGCCCCATATTTCTAATTTTCTAATTAAATTTATATCTTTTCTCCCTAATCTACAGGGATATTGAAAACAGAAAAAAAAGTGAAGTTGGAAGAAAAAAGCTCAACTGCATTTGGTATGAACAGAAAGTTATATTTAAGCAAAAGACTAGAAAGCTTGATAGAGGGAGGACGGAATCTTTCTCTTCCTTTTCCCTGTTAAAGCTGTATTATGTATACATGATCCTCCACTTTACTGCTTATCAGTGTTAGTTGGCTCCAGATATACCTTTTCTTTAGTACAGATTTTGTAATTTTATGTGTATTTATTGTTAGGAGAGTCTGACTTCTCTGAGAAGTTGCTTTGTTTCTAAACATCTCCAGTTCAAATTATGGCTGTTTCAAAATAAGCCTTCACTTAATATTGTTGAGACTTAGAGGGTAGATTATACATTAGTCATTTATTTTCAGGGTTTCTTCTTCAACATGTCTGATGAAAAGGTTGCTGAGTTTTCTACTGTCTTTTCTGTCTTCTGTGCTGTAATTATTAAAAAGCATGCAGTAAAAAAAAAAAAAGCATGCAGTAATGGATTATAGTCTTACATTGTTCTTTAGCTTAAGTAATTGGAAGTTGGGCCACTGAAAGTTGGTCAAATGTGGTTGATAGATTGTGGTCTAAACCACTCTTAGTTGAACCATAGCTGCTAGAATATATGTGCTGATTTAATTCGAAATAAAATGTTCTAGGGTATCCATTTATGTAAGGTCCACAAATTGGGGGAAAGAATGCTTTAAAACTTTAAGGAAAAACAGTATAATGAAGTGATTTTTTCCTTTTTGTTTTTAGTCTTCATTCTTATAGACAGAGAAAGTGTTGGAAGATTAGGGCTATTTATGGATTAATTTATTAAAAAAAATTCTAAAGAACAGTCTTTTTAAAAACATCTTCTAATATTTTCTCATTAAATGATGTATGGAAATGCTGATCCTCCTCTGTGAGGACTTTATTAAAAAATGGAGTTTAACTTCTTGCCACATGAGAATTGAATATATTACTCGTTTAAAGGTTTTAACCACTGTCTGTATTAACTTCAAGGTGTCAGGAATTGGGATTTCTCAGCACTGCTAATGAAGATCCCCTCTTATAGTCCAATAAACTAAGCAGGAGTTCCAGACTCATGACATGAGCAATTTAATTGAATCCATCCACTCTGGGCAGGTGACTGGAATAGCTACTGAAGCCATAAATGCTGCTGTTAGGTTAAACCACAGAGGGACCACTCAGGATTACTCATGATTACTGAAGTATTTGTTTTTATTGTTTAGGTAAGAGAAAAGAAAAGGATAAAGAAAGAAAGGAGAAGAGAGACAAAGATCACTACAAACCAAAACAGAAGAAGAAGAAGAAGAAGAAAAAGAAATCTAAGCAGCATGGTAAGTATATTGATTGTTATTCTTGTTTCTTAATATTCTGAGATTCTTTTAATTCTCCCGTTTTATCAAAATCGAGATATAACAAAAGATCCTTGTGTTTTGAAAACTGAGATATTCTTGCAACTTCCCATTTTCTTGTAATTTCAAAAACATACACGTCTGTTTTACCAGGGTCTGTAAATTAATTACTGTAATGGTTAGGCTTTCATTTTCAGCATTGCGGTACACTAGATACTCTGACTAAGCACTTTCCAAATACCAAAGGAATCATTCTCCTTTATAGAGTCACTTAACTTTCCAGAATGAGGGAGAAATACAGATTTAAAAAAAAAAAAAAACTTAAGCTGAAATTCGCTATGAGCACTCCATCTCTAAAGGAAATCCTGAAGGATATACTTAAAGGGAGAAGGAAAATGATGGCAAGAGGAAGACTGAGCTGCCAGTAGACATGATGAGCTTGGCTAAATCTGGACATTGTCTGTGTAATCATAGTTTGATTTATTGGGAAAACAAAATGAAATTATAAAGAACAAAAATACATAATAATGGCTCATAGGTTGGGAGGCACATCCTTGTATTTCAATGTCTTTAAGCTCCTTTTGTTGATTGGAGGAGCACCAGACTTGTGGCTTATAGGTTCAATACATTAAATGTACATTTTAAAATTTCTCATGTAAGTATTAAAGAATAGAAGCTCAGGGTATAATTTCTATAGTAAAAGGAAGAAAAATGTAATGAGTAAACCATCCACATCCAAAGAAGACAGTAAGAGAGAAAAATATAAATTACAAAATAAGATATTAGAAATAAATCCAAATATATCACTATTTATAATCATATCAGAAAGATTATTATAGTAGATTTTAAAATCCAGTCCTCTCTTATTTACAAAAGATGTATGTAAATATAAGGATGGAGAAAATTGAGAAATGTTGGGGGAAAAGTATGGAAAAAATTTGGTAAGTAAATAATGACTAAAAATAGAAATTAGAGTAGATATATTATTAACAGGTAGTCATTAAGGCAAAAATTATTCCTAGACATTAGAGGTTAACATCACATGATAAAGATTCAGTTCTCTTTATATTTTATTGTAAAAAATGCCTACATTTTATCATTGAATAATTTCATCATATTGGTATTAGATAAATTAACAAAAGTGAAAAATGTTCTACAAGATAAAAGAGGTGGTACCTTACCCATGTTGTGAGTGACAGGTCCATGCAGACACTGCAGGTTCTGAATGTGTGATTTTCTCAGGACACACATGGTTCTTAAAACTGACCATATGAGACAGGTTTAAGCAAACCTTAGCAAATGGTAGAAATTGGTATAATATAGACCTGTAGTTTCTGATCACAGTATTATCACAGAACCAGTATCAAAAAGATAAGAGCCCTGAATATTTAGAAATTAGGCAACATAGTTCTAAATAATTCATGGATCAAACAAAAAGTCCAAAGGGAAGATAAAAAAATGAGAACCTGAAAGATGATGGGAATATTGTATGTTAAAACTTTGTGAGTGTAGTACAAGGACACATAAACAAAATGTATTGTCATACAGGTGTATAGGAAAGGAAAAACAGCAGTGAGGCTTGCTACTTAAGAAGTTAAAAGATCAAGAATAAATCCAAAAAACTAGAGTTTAGTTTAAGCACATGAACAAAATTTATTGAACTAAAAAATGCTAAAAAGAATTTTAAAATGCCAAATTTAATTATCTAAAAAACTAAAATAATCAACAAGCCTCAGAAAAAAAGATGAACCATACAAATAAACATTAGGAATGAAAAGAACATAATTACAAATGCTCCAGACTTTAAGATGAACTTTAAAGGTTAGAGGAAGGTTTGGAGAACTGCCAGAAATCAAACTCAGAAAGAAGGTACAAACCTTAGTAGTCTCCAAATTTTAAAAGAAGTTTAATCAGTGGAAATGGAAGGAGACCCTCATTGTTATACAAAATTACATATAAGAGGTTATGAGGGGAATGGGAAAAAAAAACAAGGAGAGAAATGAATTACAGTAGATGGGGTAGAGAGAGAAGATGGGAGAGGAGGGGGGTGGGATAGTAGAGGATAGGAAAGGTAGTAGAATACAACAGTTACTAATATGGCATTATGTAAAAATGTGGATGTGTAACCGATGTGATTCTGCAATCTGTATTTGGGGTAAAAATGGGAGTTCATAACCCACTTGAATCTAATGTATGAAATATGGTATGTCAAGAGTTTTGTAATGTTTTGAACAACCAATAAAAAAAATTAAAAAAAAAAGACAGGACCAGAATGTTATGTTGCTAAGTTTTATCAAAACTAAAACAAGAGAAAACTCCAAAAATGTGTATAAATTATTTCAAAATTTAGAAAAAGAATAATCCCATAGTGGGTACATAGGGCCCCCATCATAAATACATATCCACATCCTAATCCTTATTACCTGTGAATGTGTATGTATTTAGGAATAGGATCTTTGCTGAAGTGATGAACTAAATTATGTCAGAATAAAACATCAGGATTTAATGTTGGATCCTTAAATATGGGGGCTTTAAGACCCCCAGAGATGAAGAACAAGTGAAGGTGGAGGCAGAGTTTGGAGTAATTCAGCCCTAGGCCAAGCTGGTACTGCCAGAAGGAAGGATTGTGCCCTGGAGCCTTCAGAGGAGTGCAGTTCCATCAACCAAGACCTGATTTTGACTTCTGAACTTAAAAACTTTGAGAGAATGAATTTCTGGTGTTTTTTTCTTTTTTGTTGTTTTTTTAATATACTTGGAATTGAATTATACAGGGTCTCATTGACTTGCTTAGGGCTTCACTAAATTGCTGATGCTGGCTTTGAACTTATGATCCTCCTGGCTCAGCCTCCCAAGCTGCTGGGATAACAGGTGTGTACTACCATGCCTGTCAAATTTCTGTCTTTTTAAGCCACCAAATTTGTTGTACTCTCTTGTGGCACAGAGAACCACTTCATGAAATTCACCACATTAAGAGGTAAAGGAGAACAAACGTTACTGTCTATAAATTTCAACACCTATATGCACTTTGGTTTTTATTAATACTGTGAATAGCTGAGTATAAAATCTTATTTAGAAACATTATAGGCCTAAGTAAAAGTAAGAAAATCCATATTCATGGTTTGGAAGATTCAATATTGGAAAGATGTCAGTCATGTTAAATAGATGTATGTATTCAGTGCTGATTCTAAAACTTAAAATGGAAGAATAAAGCCCCAGAAATAATACAGTTACTCTTGAGATAGAAGAAGATTGACTATTCAGCTATAGTTATTAAGGTGCTCTGGTATCTTGGAGGAATATATGTAATGATCAAGGACAAAATAGATAGTCCAGATCAAATCCATTATATTTGTACAGATCTTCTGTTGAAGATTTAGTGGGTAAAGGGTAAGGATTACTAAGTGGCAGACCAATTTGTTATTAAGATGGGGTAGAAAAATGAAAATGCATTCTTTTCTTATACCATACACAAAAATTATTTCAGGCATATGTGGAGAGAAAATTGTAAAGCTTTGAAGGACAGTATACGAAAATATTTTTATGATCTTTATTTAGGCAGGGTAGAATTTCTAAACAAAAAATGCTAGCCCTGATGGGAAAAGTTGAAAATACGGCTAGACTGAAATTAAGAAGTTTTGTTCATCAAAAAATAGAGTGAAAAGACAACCTGCAAACCACAAGAAATGTAACACGTATACCTGACAAAAAAAGATTAGTATTTTGAATATATTTCTACTCTTCTGAATCAAAAATGGAAGTGGCACAGAATGAAAAAGGGCAAAAGACTCTAGCAGGTTCTTCACAGAGACAGAAACCTCAGGTGGATCATAGTAAGATGTTCAGGGTAGTGAGAGGCTGGCTAAATGCAGTTCGTAGAACATAGTGAAGTATATTTCATACCTGCCATGTTGCAAAAATTACAAGGTAAATACTTTAGATGTTGCTGAGGAATGGAAACAAGTATACAATTACAGTGGAAAATAGGATGAGTGCCATGTGCCCTGAAAGTTCCTGAGGAAACTCACATGGTGCTGTGGAGCACGCGCAGCCAGCTCTCCTGTAAGACCCTGTGTCCCTTCAGCAGGGTCGCTCCATGGGCTGAAAAGCCTAATTACATCTACAGGACTCTTGGGGGCAGGATGTTAAGCTGAAAATCCAGTCCCTTAAGAGAACATAATTCTATTCAGGTCAGGATTAAAATGTTATCATACTAAACAGTATTGTTTTAGTGATTGATTATGTGGGAGAGCAAGAGAATGATGAACAATAATTCAGAAAATTACTACCTCTGAGGTGGGAAAGGGATGTTTTATCAGTTCATATTGGAAAGTGACACAAAGAAGGCTTTAAAAATGGTGAGTTTTTCCTTCAACTGCAGGATTGGTGCCTGAGTATTTTGTCGTATTGATTGTCTTTATGTCATGCTCATTTTTTTCATATTCATTAAACATTTAATAAAATGAGTTTTAAAAGATGTAAATGTATAAAGGTTGCCAGGCATTGCTGTAGTGGGTAATCATGATTGGGAAATTCTTCAGATCTCAACTTTCTGTGTAGTCCAAAAATAACATCTAATTTTCCCACAGAATGTGAGGTTCCTATATTCTCTAAAGCTGCCAGAGTAAATATGAAGATAGAGGATCACAGTGAGATTGACGAGATTGAAACCACTTTTCAGGGAGAGAGTCTTAAACATTTCCATGTACTCCTGTGCCTCCCTTGCTTCTCAAGTCTTTCCTCCTACTCTTCTACCCCTCCCCAGCCCATCCCTGACCCCTCCACGTATTACCTAAGAGCCCTGTAAACAAAAAACCATTAACCATAAACTGTGATTACCAAATACCCTCCTATGAGTGGTGCGTCATAAGCTTTAGACTGCAGATAACACTGCCTGATGAACTCTCTACTAATCTGTCTCTGGGGGATGAGCCCAGCCAGGTGCTCCAGTGGAAACCCTGAATCCTCCCACTAGGAGCGGCTAGTTGTTTTAGCCATATGATGCTGCATCAGTGAACTGAGGCCTGCTCCAGTCTGCAGTGCCAGTCACAGAATCTTACATGTTATAACATGGGAAGTTTGGGGGAAAGATAACAGTGGAGAGCTGATTAAAAAAAAAAAAAAAAAAAAAAACACCAGAATAAGAAAGGGGCCACACTTGGTGGCAAAGGGTTGGGTAGAGAGGGCTTGTGAGAAGGCTACAAGTGGTAACTTGAAAGAAACAAGAGTGATTAGAATCACAGAGAAAAAACTGCAAAGAAAACTTGCATCTTAGAATAGTGATCAGCCCTTAACTTTAGTAACCTTTACAACAACCCTTTTAAAATACAGCACTTTAAATTACATATAGATATTTGTATATATCTGTATCTGTATATTTAATGAAACAAGAAGAACCTTGTACTTTGTTTATGTTTTAAAATTAGGCCTGTAAATGAACATTCTTGCTTTGTCCAAGGCATCCTGGTAAATGCTGATGATGCACAGAAGCATTGCTATTTGTAAACACAGGTGTTGAGTCTGGTAATCACCAGCATCTTTGTAATTAATTATTCCATTTCAGGAAAATTTATTCTGGGCTGTTTACATTCATTTGGAAGTGATACTTTCCCCCAGATGATTAGAAGAGTGATATTTAAGTGGGAAGTATGGGGTTTTCAGTAATTTTAAAAATGTAAAGTCATCTTAATGTTTAAGAATTCGCAGTATTACCGTCTGAGGTTCCTACTAGAAAATGTTTCTTAGTGTACAAGTAGCATCATGAGGGATTTTTAAACACCTTTTATTCACAACTCATAATATTTTTTTTAAAGAGAGAGAGAATTTTAATATTTATTTTTTTAGTTTTCGGCAGACACAACATCTTTGTTTGTATGTGGTGCTGAGGATCGAACCCGGGCCGCACGCATGCCAGGCGAGCACGCTACCACTTGAGCCACATCCCCAGCCCAACAACTCATAATATTTTGCATATCGTGCTTATATTCATTATGTACCAAACACTAAGCATTCTATACATATTAATTCATTTAATCCTCATGCTAACTGTACATTAGTGCCTGACAGCTGCATTTTACAGTTAACTATAGCAGAGAGAAAGAGAGTCTTCTAATTTGGCATAGGTGACAACAAACAGTGACAAGCAAATTACACCCGATGGAGTGGTTCAGATTTTAATTTGTACCACTGAGCTATATTAATTTTACCTCCTAAACTTTCAGGATTGTTTATCAGACTGTATTCTTCCTTCAACAAGTTTTTACCTATATTTCTTGGCATACTAAGTTTTTATTCTTGTATATTATTCATTTAAATGAGATTGCAGAGGCAGCAGTTTGGCTAAGTGGTTCTTCACAGCTATTCCATATACTACTGTTGGGTTAGGACATTGTGATGACCAGAACTAGTTTACAAGCTATAACATTAACATCAGGTTCAGTCTGTGTGGATGAGGAATTGCCATGTTGGGGTTTATTAGTGGTATCTTTACCAGTTTTTACTTTTGTTACTTTGCTAACTTTATCTTTTTCTTGTCCCTGTTAACACGAAACCGAAAGTATAAAGAGATTAAAAAGAGCTAGAGCTAGAAATGCAGAGATTCAAAACACTGTATAGTAAAACCAGAGGTTCCCTGACAAGAGCTTGTGAGCACACAGATTGGTGTTTGGTACAAGTGATAAGTATGTGCAGGTATCTCTCAGAAAGGTGTAACCTGGTGATGAGGGTAGCACAAAATAAATCCATTTAAAATTCATAAAAGCTAAGGTGATGGAGAAAAGGGGGTCAGTGTAGGAGATTACTCTGCTATAAGCCTTGAAACTGCAGAAGACTCTTGATTCATAGTAGCCAGAGAGTTTAGGAGTAGGATGCAGGTAGTATGCCAAAGGCCAAAATAATTCATTTATTTGAGAATATAATGGTAGGGTGATTTAATATCAGCCATGTTTTACTTTTAGCACCAGACTGTGATTCTTGTCATTATTTTTACAGACTCCTCTGTTTGCTTCCCTGAGAGGGTAGCATAGAATGTAGTATTTAGAGGGCAGCTTTGGAAAGGTTTCAAACCTTTGTCTCTCTCACAATTTCCTCATTTCTAAAATGGTAGTGATCATTTTGACTGTGAATATGTATTATCAATATTAGATAGGATAATCACTGAAACATACATGACACAGTACCTGGCATTTAATAGATGCCCTTCCCGTACCTGTACCTGGGTACCTTAGTGTTGGTCAGGCTGCAGTGTTACTGTAAGCCTCAAAGAGGCAGAAGAGCACAGTGGCTGTTGTCTGATGGCAGCAGCAGCATCCCAGTGTTTTTGTTCCCACTGCTGGGCCTGAGGCCCAGAATCTGGGCCTTCGTAGGCTTTCCAGGTAGTGCATGCTTGCTTTAAATGTGTAAATCTACCCATAGTGCTTCTTGGTTAAGAGTAAGGCTCCTGGAGTCATTCCATCTGGATTTGAATGTTTTCTTTACCATTGATAGCTGAGTGTTCATGGACAATTTACTTAACTTGTTCTGCCTCAGTTTTTGATTTGTGAAATAGTACTAGCAGCTGACCTTCTCTTATTGGATGGTTGTGAGGATTAAGGGTTAGTATATAGAATGTGCTTAAATTTGTTTTCATCACAGAGTGGCTATGCTCTGGTGTTGTTATGATTACCTGGTAAGTTTCCCAAGGCTGCCATCACAGATGACTATAATGCATGTTTGTTTCCTTCATAGTCGGAGGTCAGATGTCCAAAATAGGTTTTACTGGGCTAAAATCAGTAGCAGCAGTACTGCATTTCTTTGTGGAGTTCAAGGAGCAGTCTCTGTCTTTGTCTTTTCTAGCTGCTGCATTTCTTGGTTCCAGTCCCCTCTCACCCTCAAATCCAGCTTTGGCCAGTGAAGTCTCATCACTTTATTATAACACTGGCTCTTTTGTCTTCCTCTCTTACTTTTAAAGATCTGTGGGATTCCTTTGGGTAATCCAGCTGGGTAGTTTAATTTCATCTACAGCCTTAAATTCCCCCTTGCTATGTACTTTGAAATATTTCCGGGACCCAGAGACTAGGACAGAGGCGTGTGTAGGAACTGTTTTTCTGCCTACTTCACTGCCAGCTTACAATAAATGCTCAGTTCTGACCCGTGTTATTACTACTCTTCTGTCGTAAACTTGCTTTTCCACTTTCTTTTTTGACCTTTCCTCAACTCCATCCACTCTTCTCCCCTTTTATTTATTTTCTAACCTATCTCAGTGACATCATTTGCTTCACTCTCAGTTGAGGAGACAGACACACCAGGTGGAAACTTATTCTTCTTCCATCACTTACTCTTCTTCCATCACATGTACACACCTCCCTGCATGTGTGCATCCTCTCCTTTGCCTGTATTAGTATGAAAGGAATGTTTGTCTCTCTTCTGAGAGTCCCATTTCTTAGCACCATCACCCATGCCCCTGCATCTTTAGATTCATGTAGATGATGTGTGTATAGGTTCTCCCATCTTAAAAAGACATGCTCTGAATTCACATTCCTCTGGTTTCTCTGTCTCCTGATTATTCTCTAGCCCCATCTTGGACTTGCTTTCATCACTATTTGCTGAAACAGAAACCTGGAAGTCTCTCTTGATGATACCATCTCTGCTATCTGCCTCCGATCTATAATATCACTCATCTTTCTTGATATCCTCACTTTCCTCTCAGCTGCCATCATCTCTGTCCAAGCCACCATCAAGTCTTGCCTGGATTGCTGCTGAGACCTCTGACTTACTGCCTTCATACTACCACTGAGCAATCAGAAGTAGTATTGGGCTTGTGTCACATCCTGTCACCCTTATAACCTTCAGAAGCTTTTTATTACCTTAGAATAAAACTATAAACACTTGTAACCTGATGTGGCCACTGTCAGTCCAGCCTCCTTTCTTATCTCCAGCCTCAGTCTCACAGTTGTCAGGTAGATGTGCCGTGTGCTCCTAGGCTTCATAGCCTTCCTCAGTGCCTAGAATCACACTCTCATTCCCTCAGACTGCATGGGGCTCTTTCCCCTTGTGTACATCTACAAGATTCATCCCAAGCTGAGAAGAACACAGCTTTGACAGAGCTTTTCCAGGACCAGTTGATTTCTTTCAGAGGCTTTTTGCTTGAAACATTTATTGATCAAATTATCACTATAATACTGTGTTAGACATTAGGAGAACCTCTTAACAAAACTGCAAAAAAAGAAAAAGAATAATTTCATTTTGCATATTTTACCACACACATAGCTATGATTATAATGGAGCATAACAGAAATAATCATTTTTCGTGTCTGGACCACCTGACAAGAGTTTACTCTGGTGCCAGTTAGAACCTGGGGATCCCTGCTGAGTGTGCTGCATGGGGTGTACTGATTTCCTGGTCAGATGCATCATTAGCTAGCTGTTCTCAGATGAGAGGAGGTGGTAGTGTGATTGTTTTACATACCCTGAAACATGACTTCCTTATGATTTTTGTAGTGACCTTTCTTGATTACTTGATACTTTATTAATATGTCTTTGTGTATCTTATGTTGCAGACTATTCAGACTATGAAGACAGTTCCCTAGAATTTTTGGAAAGGTGCTCTTCTCCACTAACTCGATCTTCTGGGAGTTCTCTGGCTCCGCGAAGCATGTTTACGGAGAAAACTACAACCTATCAGTACCCCAGGGCAATTCTGTCCGTTGATCTTAGTGGTGAAAGTATGTGTAACTATGTAATGGTTAAAAAAAGACTACATTCCTAACTGTGAAATTAAGAATATTGAAAAAGTTATTACATAAACTAATAGGAAAATCGCAATATTAGAAATATGAGCTGTATTTTAATTTGTATAAAGTAAAACTGGCTTTTCTACTTCGTGGTGAAAAAGAGAATCAAGCAACTAATACCAGTGTCTACTATATATAGTCCTTCTATTGGTGCTTTTACATATATATCCATATTCTTTTCTACTAACTTAGAAAGCAGTATTGTTATCCACATTTTATAAATAAAACAAGCAAAGGCTTATGGTAATTTTATGTTTGATCAGTGTTAGGATTAAAACTTGAACTGAGGTCTTCATTAGCTCCAGAGATAATGTTTTTTCTACCAGATATTTAGCATAATTTTTAAAATGTACTTTAGATCTGTGGGATGTGGGACTGTGCTCAGGTCAGGGATTTGTGCACAGTCAGAAATTAGGCCCCATCAGTGTGAAAAGAGCACTAGATTTGGAATTTTCAGATCCTCCTCCAAGTCTGCTCCTGATAGTGGAAGGTGATGAGGACTCCTACAACTCCTTCTAATCCTAAAGCAGTAGGAGGAGAGACTTTCCTACATCTAGACACTGCGGGCAGTGGCTTCACAGTAGAGCTGAGGCACAGTAGGGACCAAAATCTGGATGAGAGGTAAATAAGACAGAGGCTTCATTTTTGATATAGCCCAGGAATCCTTGTTGGTGAGCTTGCTTCCTTAACCCTTCTCCGTGCCCTAGATGGTAGATACTAGGTTTGGTTTTCTTTTGCACTGTTACTGCTGGCTCTCTTCCAGGCCTTACTCCTTCCTGGCTCACTGTGGAGAAGAGCATATTCTTCCCTTTACTATGAAATAAGCACACAGCACTTTTAAGACATTAGGAAAAGGATTAAGAAAAATGATCTCCCTGCCCCTCTGCCTTTTGCCAACAAGCACAAGTCACTTTCTTTGTATTGGGTCCAATGGTTCTGAACACCCAGGTGTACATAATAATCATTGTTGTACTCTGATCCTGGGTCCTACCACAATTAAATGAGATTTCTGGGAGGATCCTGCCAAAATATAGTTTCTGGGCAGGGTTTAGAAATCACATAGGAACACCCATACCATGAGCCATCAAGATTTGAAGATGGTGTCTTGCTAGAGAGTGTTGGAGAATAGGAGTTTATATCAGGCTAGCAATAGTGCCAGACAAGAATATTGAAGAAAAGGGTATAAACAGTCAAATGTATGCACCCTTAATTCTACCCTGCCTTCTGTATAATTGAGCACTGGGCTAGGAGGAAGAAAAGTGGTGTTTAATAGAAGCAGGTTTGCAAACATGAGTACACATCACAGCCATTTGGAAGACACATTTTCTGAGCCTTTTCTCAGAATTTCTGATTAATGCTGGGCATGGTGGTGCTCACATGTAATCCCAGTAGCTTGGGAGGTTGACCAGCCTCAGGAATGTGATGAGGCTCTAAACAACTTAATGAAGACTTGTCTCAAAAAATAAAAAGGGCTGGGGATATGACTCACTAGTAATGTACCCCTGGGTTCAATCCCTGGTACCAAAAAAAGAAAAAGGAAAAAAAAAAAGAATTTCTGATTAATAACAAGTGCCCAGGTGATGATAATGTTGCCAGTCTGGGAACCATACTTTGAGAATACTATCTTGTGAACCAGCAATAATAGTTCAAGGGGTAGCAGTTCAAAGGAAACTGGTGTCCTTGTGGCCACTCAGTTGGCACCATTGTCCCCACGCCCCCTCCCCCATGTAAGTGTAAGAGGAACTTTTATTCGCTTTTCTTATACAACTTTCAACTCAGTTTTCAACCCATTTACTTGGCTTCCAGAATTCAACCAAACGTACGTTTAATGCTTAGGAGTTAGTTATTCAAACTGGATTTTCTGGTCAATTTGTTAAATTTACATGCTGACACCAAAAAGAACTGATGACCATTCAAGTATATGTAAGTTCCACACTAATTCCTTTCAGTGATATAGTTTTAAACTTAGTTTTTATTGTATTATGATTGCCATCCATTTAATACCATCTATATACTACAGTAGTATTTGAAACTGCTTATCCATTTGGAAACTTGAATTTATATTTAGGAAAACCTGAGAGAAAATACTAGTTTTGGATTTAAGCCCACAGGATTATGGATGAATGAAATTTTTCTCTAGAGTCTTAAAACTGTTCATATTATTCATATTAGAATGATTTTTCCTGTCTCATTTCTTTACTTCTGGATTCTTGAATGCTTTCAGGTATTTCTCTACCATTACCTCATTTCTATTGACTTGATTTTCTCCAGAATGTTCCTGGGACCTCAAATAAAATATTTATATTTCTATAAAATATTAACTTAAATAAATAAAAACGTAGAACATTCAAAAATATTGAATCAGGATAAAAATAAGTAAGATTAGAAGCTGATAGAAGAAGCACTACATCACAGGAAATCTTTTATTTTTTACTTTTTTCATTGTTGATAATTGAACCCAGGGCTTCATGTGTGCTGAGTATGTGAAATATTTAAAACAAAAATAGGATGAGTTTTTATAGTTTGAATCCATCCAACTTCCATCTAGTCCGATTTAGTCTGAAAAGAACATTTTCTCTCTATATTGATTTTTGACTACAGTACATATCAGGCCTAGCTTAATTTTCTTATTTGAAGGTCACTCTCACTTTGCTAGGGTATTTTGTTTGAAGCCTTCAAGTTTGAAACTCCTCAGGGTCATAACAGTGAGTAAACCTACATTGAAGATTGGACTGCAGCAGCACTTCTCCTACTGGTCCAGGTCCGTGGTGCTTAATAATTTAACAGAATGTGGCCACCTTCCAGTGAACAATGCTTTGCTTATTCTTGCTTTCATGGATTTTGACGTTCTAGAAAGGGGAGATGAATGATACGCTAGTGAAGGAATAAAGAACACGGTATGACTAGGGAAAGGGTAGGTGTGGTACTAAGGAGTGTCTGTCCAAGAGCCCAGCTGAGTGGGCTCCATTTTGGAAAGGCCCAGCAGCAGGGTTAAGGTCTAACAAGTGCCTTGTGAGGACTTAATTCCCAACTTTTCTCCAGCTAACTATAGTATCATAAAACCTTCAGTGTCAAGTCGTCATTTCTTTCCCTTATGGTGTTATAAATAGAGTCCCTTATGTTTAGCTTGATTTTTTTTTTCTCAATAGCCTGAACAAAATGATAGGTTTTGGCATCTATATTATTACAAACACAAACCTGAAGCCTGCCATTTAAATCAAGTTGTGTGGCATGATAGTTCATATAATCTAGTACCTGGAATATACTTAATAATTATTAAAGAATTCTATTAAAATGAAATTATATTTTTAAAACATTCCTTGGGGAACTCCTGATCCTAACTGAAGAAATCCTGGTGAAATGAAAAAGAACACAGGCCTTAGGATCAAGTAGTCCATCTTAAGTTGGCTTTATCACCACCTGGCTGCACTACTCCTTCAAGTTATGCACTTGTGTTTAAAGTGCTCAAGATAGGGTCTTGTGTGTATCAAGTGCAACAGTAGTGCTACTGATAGTATTAATAGTATTATTATTAGACCACAGGTGGGCAAGCTCTTTCACATCTTCGAAGTTGCTTATCTCGGTGGTACAAATAATAAAACCTGTCCTTTTTACAACCAAAAAAGGGTTAATGTTCATGAAAACATTGGATCAAAAGGGAAGTATGTGGAATCTATACAAATTTAACATATTAATACCAACCTTAGCCATGTTCTCTGTAAGCATCAATACTAGGGGATACTTACTGTTATTTAGAACAGTGTGTGCATAGGATGGGAAACAGTCAAAATTACCCATTCTCCAAAAGTAATGTTTCTTTGTCCATAGAGAAGTACTTTATTCACATCTATTTGCTCCTTATATAAATACTTAATAGCTTTTATTCACTTCTCAGAGCTCCTTTTTTTCTGAAAAATAACATAAAAATGGAAAAATTGTGCTGAATAAACATTTTTTTAAATATCTTCTAGACTTATCAGATGTGGAATTCCTAGATGATTCTTCAACAGAGAGTTTACTTCTGAGTGGGGATGAGTACAATCAAGATTTTGACTCAACCAATTTTGAGGAATCTCAGGATGAAGATGATGCTCTGAATGAAATTGTGCGATGTATTTGTGAAATGGATGAGGAGAATGGCTTCATGATTCAGGTAGGTGATTCACCTCTCTTCTCTGCAGTAAGAATTTTGCAGAATCCCCCTAGGTGCATCAGAAGGCCTTCCCTTTTTACCAACCATCTCATTGGAGATACAGGTCCCTAAGGTATTGTCATTTTTTAAATGCCAGTAGTAATGACTAGGAAATCTTTTCATCAAATAAAATAGCCAGTTTCCTTATTTTAGAGATACTGACCCTTAGCTACAGTATTTCTCAGTTTCAAGCTGAAACTCTTCAAAGCATTGTAGTGGATAAGCCTCACATTGAATGTTGGACCACAGTAGCCATTTTCTACTGGTCTGAGTCCGTGGTGCTTAATAATTGACAGTATATAGTTACCCTCCAGTGAGTGGAATTGGAAGTGTTAAGTTTTCAGTACTCTCAGCAGAAAGGAAAACTCTTCTGCAAGGGTTAGTAACCTCTCCGTGTAGGAAAGATACCTATAAGAAAAAAGAGAAGCATAACCCATATTTTGTGGTGATGTGGAAGATTTGGAGAGGTTAGTTACCAGAATAAAGCAAGTGTAATCTCTTCTTCTTTCCTTTTTCAATGGTATTCTCAAATAAGAGAACTAATTTTATATTTATACTCTTTATTTCTCCTACACAAGCAGTACTTTGAGAGGCTACAGGCACTGTTGCAAATTTGCTTTAAAAATATTCTGCACTTTAGTTAGATACTTTTGTGCTAGGGATGTCTCTCAGTGGTAGAGAGCTTGCCTGGCACCTGCAAGGCCTTGGGTTCAATCAATCCCGTCCCCACTACCTTGCAAAAAAAAGAAAAAGTTTTACATGTGTGATTGCCTAAAAGTAAGTGGGAAACAGATGAGGAAAATTCTGACATTTTTATTATTTATATAATTTATCAAAATCTATTTTAATAGATCCAAAAATAAAATCAGCCTTGATTTCATGACTTCCTTTTGTTATAATGAATGAGGATTGAATTTTTTGTGTCAAGAAAGCAAACCAGCTTCTGAAGAGGTGGCATGATATTGACTTCAAGGGTGCCTTTGCTGTCAGCACTAAGTCTCCTCTGTTCTCTGGCAGTGTGAAGAGTGCCTGTGCTGGCAGCACAGCGTGTGCATGGGGCTCCTGGAGGAGAGCATCCCGGAGCAGTACATCTGCTACATCTGCCGAGACCCACCTGGTAAGGCTGCTTCACTGTGCTCAGTACAAGGTGCCCGATCAGCTGCTCACATTCTAGAGTATGTCCACTGCATATGGCACCACTGCTTCTTGGTCAGATAGACTTTGCTTCTGTATAAAAAAATTAAGAATATTTTCCCACTGTTTGTTATAGTTTGAGTTTTGTATTAACTGCTTAGACATACTATCATGAAAGACTTTTCTTGGAAAACTAGCTTTTGTCTATTCCTATGTGTTGTTTTTAGTGAGGCTTATTTATGGTGTTTGAATGGACTGTAGTCTTCATGGGTACTCCTCCTGGAAAGTTTTGAAGAAGTTTCTAGTCTCTATACATTTCTGAATATGTATATTCAGCTCATTGTAGAGTAGATGAGATCTCAGGTCACTGCCTGTGATCACCTTTTTCTTTGGAGCAACCATAGCACAGACGATTGCATTATACAAAGGAATAGCACTAAATATGGCAGACTGAGGGGACACCTGAGCTTTTTGACTCCTAGTCTATTGTGCGTTCTACTTCATGCCTTTCTCTATGTCAGGAGGGTCTTCAGGTAGCAAGTTCTTCATACTGAATATAGTTTCAGCCCCAGTGGCAAAAAATAACTATGTATTCTCATTAAAAGGCAGATGAATTGTTCCCATGCCTACCAAAAAGAAAAAGCCATGGTAAGAAGCAAGAGAATGATTGAGACCTGTATCAGTGAGACATTTCATACTCATGTGTTTAGTAACCTTTTTTGTATACCTTCTATTTGCCAAACATTGTGGTCAAATGAATGATTCAGGCCGTGCTCTCAGCTGTCTCGCAGTGGAGGAGGAGGCACAGACACATGAATGTCTAATTGTAACAGGATCTGATTTGTATTAACATTAAGGCTAGAGGACACTATGAAATCATGGACATGGAGCAGGGGTCCCTGTTTGCTCACCTAGAATTCTTTGTTACAGCCACTTAAAAACAGAGATTAGCGAGAGAGAGATCCCCTATAGTTTCTCTCCAGCCCTGTTATCCATTTTAGAGGACATATGACTGATACATAAAATTTCAGTGCACTCAGGGTTCCCTTCACAGGTGTCATCTGTTACTGACTACATCCTTAATGAGATTTCTGAGTCCTCTATGGAACACCAGAGATGTGCAGGGGTTCTCCCAGCATCATGCTGTCTTCCTGGGCTTTGAATCCAGTCTTAATTCCACAGCTTGCCTTGCTAATGCATAACATGAGGGTTAGCAGCTGAAGGGAGATTGGGTCAGTGGAATCCTTTGTGACTTTAATGTCAACTTCATCTGCAGGTCAGAGGTGGAGTGCAAAGTATCGTTATGATAAGGATTGGTTGAATAATGGGAGAATGTGTGGGTTATCATTTTTAAAAGAAAATTATTCTCATCTCAATGCCAAAAAGATAGTTTCCACACATCATCTGCTTGCTGATGTCTATGGTGTAACAGAAGTACTACACGGGTTACAGCTGAAGATCGGAATACTAAAGTAAGTGAGGGGTGGAGAGGGAGGGTCACACTTCAGTGTCCATTTGAACAGAAATCAGAAAAAAGAGAAAAATAAGTTAATCATAAATTTAAAAAAATAAACAAGCAAAACAGATGCAGGTGGTCTTTGCATCCAGTAGCAGTTTGGAAGAGAGAATAAATATTTAAATAAACTCTACTTTTTAAAAATCAGGAAAGTTTAATAATCCTTTGGATGACTGCTACTACTGCCTTTTGTCATAGAGGAGGCAAGCGTAGTTCAAGGACCATACAGCATCTAGTTTATCAGTCAGTTTGAATCCAGGCCTACTGTTGCTTGTGCTCGCTGTGTGCACAGAATTAAGGTGTGGACTTCAAAACCTTCATTAGTGAACCCTGTGTTTTGTATCCTTCAGGAATGTTCTTGAGGTAAAATAGATTTTATTTTATGAATCTGTAATTACCTTAGAGCTTATTGCACCAGCTAGAGGAACCTGACAGATCCTAGAATCCACCTCTGCTGTGCAACAATATTTAGTCTTAGTCAGTTGTCACTTAAAGAAAAGACTGAACTGCTGTTAAGTGATAGATTAGAGTGTTCTTCAAGGCCTGTGTTCAGTCCTTCCTAATTTCTGACCAGAATCCGTTAAAAACACAAAATTCATATTTCATATAAAAACAGACTGTTGTTTCACTGGATATTCACAAGATTTTCTTCAATTAGACTTGCCCTTCTCCCTTCTTCTCTCCCAGTTCCTGGGTCTCCTGCATCCTTCCCTTATGACTTCTGAGCATCTCATGGTTCGGCCATTCTCTCTCCTCGCTGGTACTACCTGTTGTATTTCATGTGAACGTTTAGTGTATTGCAGTTCCCTGTGGCTCTAGGCTTGCAGTCTTCAGTCCTTCCTTCATACTTTGCCAGTGTGAGCTTAAAGATAAGAAGGATCTTGTTTCTTGATAGCATAGTGTCCTTCTTTCTCATAGTGAGGAGTCAGCTGTCCAACGTGTGCTCTGAGTCCCTTATGTGACATAATGTGTCACCCCATCTTTCTTCTCCCAAGTGTTTTGCCCTAGTGTCCCAGCTACACCAAACCATAACCCCTGAATGAAGCATTCTTTTGTTTTCTTTCTTTCTTTTTTTTTTTCTTATTGTAGTACTAGGGATTAAACCCAAAAGCATTTTACCACTACACCCCTCCAGCCCTTATTTTTTGTTTGTTTTTTTGAGATAGGGTCATCACACTAAGTTGCCTAGGCTGGCCTTAAATTTGCTGTTCTCCTGCCTCACCCTCCCCAGTTGCTGGGATTACAGAGGGGCACCACTGTGCCCAGATGGAAGCATTCTTTCTTATAGATGTAGGCCTTGTACCCCCAGAATAACTTCCTGCCGTTAGTCTCCCTAGTAGGTGCCTTTTCATGATTACTTGCCCAATGAGAGCTGATCACTCCTTTCTTAGAAAACTGCATACTGGTGTCATGGACTTTGATGTGCTTGATTTTTTTTTTATGTCTGAATCCCCTAAATATCTTATCATTTTATCCCTAGTGCAGAGTGTAAAGGGTAAATAGTAACAAGTGAAATTTGTTACAATTGTGTGTCGTGAACCTGAATAAAGATTTCTTTATTTAAAACCATGTGAATACTGAGTCTTGAAGGAGAAAGTTATGGATTAGGCCTTTTTAAAAAATCTAGTTTTCTTCCTTCTTGGTTTCAGTGAGAGTTTCACCACATTCAAAATTATGCTAAGGATTTTAGCTGGACCATTTCTGCCTCATATGCCCATAAGCCCTCTTTATGGTAACATTTCTGATAATATTATTATTTATTATTTATTGTAAGTACTTCATGCCAGAATAAATCACTTTCATGTGATCTTTCATTGAATTATTATAGTAAGCCTGGGAAATAAATCTCACCTGTAAATGAGAATGGCTTGCAAAGTGATTACATCATTGCCCATGTTCTCAGTGGGCACAGGAGGATTCTGTCCATTGAACTATTGAACTACAAAGCCAGCTTTTTTTCTTCTATGGGATTTTTTACTATTTAACGAATATTAAATTTTCAAGATACAAAAGATAAGATTTATATTTTTAGAAACAACATATGGAATATTATTAGAAGAAAACTTATTTGACTTTTTGTGTCATTTGGAAGTTACTAATTTGCAATCAATTTTTAACCTTTTAGAAGGGTTATGCCTCCCACATAGCCTTCTTTCTCTTACGTTTCTATGACTGGAGTCCTGTTTTACTTACCCCACCATTTTAACTATTATGGAATTAACTGATAGTATCATGCTCCTTTCTTCAGTAAGGAGGGGTTAAGGGGATGCTGTCATGGATAGTAATGGGGAGTAAATAGGTACAATTGCTTTGGAGGCCAGTTGGACAATACCTAGAATAAAAATATATGCCATTCATCAGTTCCATTTCTAGAAATTTATCTGACCAAAATATTCTCATTATGTGCAAACACACATACACAGAAATCCATACCCATCTATTAGTGGGAGAATAGTTGACTAGACTAAACTTGTAGGAGGTAATCTTCAGTCACTAGAGTAAATAAAAGTAAGGCAAACCTAGAGCAAATAAAAGTAAGGCAAACCTGTGCTCTGATGTGGCAAGATGCCCATAATGTATTATGGAGAAAAAAGGCAAAATCATATGAGTCCCAGTTGTGTCAAAAGAAAAAGTGAAGCTTATCTATTTAAAAAATAATGTTATGTATATTGAAAAAATCAGTTATTTATGATTTCTAAGAAGGAGAGATTTTTACTTTGCATACATTTATAGTTGGAATTTTTTTGTCATGAACAGTTATCACCTTTTGATTAAAGGTTTTAAAATGTGCTCACATAAGGGTATTCATATCATGCAATGAAAAAATTGCAATAAAAATCAATAGAAAAAGATGCATATATCAACTGATAACTTTAATGGTCAAGAGAATTCAAATTCAAATTTTAGATGAAATTCTAGAGTAAGTTAACTTAAAGAATACTCTTGTCCTGAGCCCTGACATCCTCCTTACCTAGTCCTGAAATTTATTATGGTCTTTTAACTTGTTGCTAGATTTTTTTTTCCTGAATTGCTTTTTTTCTCCAACATTGTTTTAAGGAATAAACATCATCCTGACCTTCATCTCTGGGCTTGTTCTGGGAAGCGAAAAGACCATAATCAGGGAATGGCTGGAGTGGAGAAAAAACCAACAGTCCAAGACACAGTTAATCTAGAAGAAAAGAAATATGTACAGAACCATAAAGAACCACCTCGTCTGCCCCTAAAAGTGGAAGGAACTTACATAACAAGTGAGCATAGCTATCAAAAACCACCCAGTTTTGGTCAGGACTGCAAGTCTCTTGCAGACCCTGGGAGCTCAGATGATGATGATGTCAGCAGTTTTGAAGAAGAACAGGAATTCCACACAGGAGATAAACACCATTTACAATACTCAGCAAAAGAGCATGGAATGCCAGAAAAGGTAAAATTGGTCCATTTGTCTGTGTATGGATACGATGCTGGAATAACAAAGGAAAACTTTATAAAAACATACTGAGTTCCCAGGTTTTGCCTGTATTTCAAAGTTTATGATTACTCGGTTACTTTATAGAAAAACACTGTTCATTTAAATATTTAATTATGCCCTGATTCAGAATTGTTGTAATTCAATAAAACTGTTAGCCTAACAAAAATTTCAGTTTTATAAACACAATTATATACCTCCCAAAACTAATGAGCCACATTTCCAAATGAAAATGTGTGACAGAACATGAAAGTGCATATGTGTGTAGTAATTTTTGTTTATTTTTGTGTGGGATAGATTAAACATGACACTTAGAAGTCTGTCAGTCCCATTTTAATGGCTGTATACACACTGAATATCTATAAGCTTATTTCCTGTTCATTTGTATTATCTTCAAGATGTTGTGCTTTCATTTTTTTATTGATTTTTCAATTAGCAAAGTCACTTTAAAATTTGTTCAGAAGAGATTATTCTATCTTCCTTATCAAATAGTAATTAATTTGGAAGGCTTACACTTCATGAAATTTCTGGTAAATTATTTTGTGAAATTAATACTCCTTTTGTGAAATAAGTTATCTCTAGCAAATCCACATTGAAATGTTGTGTGTATGTGTTAAACAGTTTCTACTCTGGAGTTTTTAGAAAATTTTTACCTTTCCTCCATTTCATTGATGTAACTGTGACAGTAAAGTTCAGTCTGTAGGTGACTAGACTTTTGCTGGTCTTTGACAATTTCCTTGATTTTTTTCATATTACTTTGCCCTCGTTTCACTATTATCACCATTTGAAATTAATTGAGGAAGAATCGAGTCCATATTAACTAGTCATTCTAATTATGGAATAGAATGAGCTCAGCACATTTTATTGAGTCCTCCCCTGCATAGCACTGTGCTAGGTGTTGTGAGGCACATATGTAGAAGCACATCCACTCCTAAGAACACCAGATGTACTTTGATTATGTGCCTGCCTTTACTTTACAGACATCCTAGGAGGCAGATCAGATTTCAAAGATCATTGTGGGTGATGAGGTTTTTATTGTGCCTTTTCCTTTTTGACATTGCATTTCATCCAGCTCTGTATGTTTTATTTTGTTTTGTATTTTCCAATGGTCCTTTGGAGAAGAATTCAGCTGCAGGGAATAAGGCATTTGTGTATAATGATAAAAAGGGCAACGAAGACCCAGGAGACTCACACCTTCAGTGGCAGCTCAATCTACTCACACACATAGAAAATGTGCAGAATGAAGTCACCAGCAGGATGGACTTAATAGAAAAAGAAGTTGATGGTAATTTAACAAAGACCTAAATACAATTTCATGGCATGTTTATTGCTATTATGAAGAAGCTATTCAAAGTTGTTTTTTTTTTAATTTACAGGATGAAAACTAGAGCTGTTTTCCATACTAATGGCAGTTTCAGTGTTTCCTTTACACTATTTATCATATGTAGAATTTTTTAGGCTCTAGACGTTATGACTGGGTATTTATTATCTTATTATCTTAGTGGTTTTCTTTTTTGTGGTAAGATGAATATTTATTAAATATTTTCTTCTGGGCTCAGAATAGAACTCTTGTGGAATATTTTTTAGTTTTATTAAACTATGTTTTCTTTGGCTGTCAGCATATAGAATTTAAGCATATTTGAAATATGAGGGGGAAACATTTTAATATTTATTTTCACTTAGGCAAGTGTTATTTAAGTAGAATTAACAGAAACTCCTACAAGGTCAAGTAGGTAAACCTTAAGTTTGCATATGAATTTTAAAATAGTTTCCTCTTCTATTTTTTAATTTTATCATCAAACAGGAGCCCTGTAAAGTAGGCAAGAAAGATATTATCCCCATTTTGTATTTAAGAAACTAGGAAAAGTTGGCTTGCCAGATTACCAAGGCAGCCTCCTTCTGTGCTCTCTGTTCCTTTCTCCTCCTAACTTGCAGGTTGCACTCTGCCTCCCCGTGACTTGGCTCTGTAGAAGCAGGCAGGACCTTGCCATTGTGCCAAATTGCAACTCTTAGTGCCTTCTCTTCCCCTAAGAAAATAAAAATGAAATGGACACCATTGAAGGAGCATCTTCCATGTGATTTTAAGCTGATTGTAGGGTTAATGTTTTGGTAGATTTTTGAAGAAAATAAATGCATTTTGACATATTCCATATTTGGGGGATAGATTTTCAAAGGAAAATAATAAAAAATGAATAATGTAATTAATTGCATTCTACCTGGAACTTTCATATACTTTGATTTTTTTTTTTTTAATTTCAAGAAATAGTGGTGGTAAAGAGGTGGTTAACTGAGAAATTGCCACCTCTTTCCCTTTGTCAAAAAGGAGGATAAACTAGAAATGACTTTAATGTAAATTAGTAGAAAGGTTGAACAGAAACAGGGAACTATCTTTTCCTGTTACAGAAGAGAGTAAAAGGAAACACTGAAAATGAAGTTAGTTTATATGTATGTAAAGAGAGCAATTGGGACAGGGATGTTGCTCAGTGGTGGAGCACCTGCCTAGCCTGCAAAGATATTGGGCTTCATCCCAGGGTGGAGTGGAGTTGGGCGGGTGATGTGTCACCTTAAATAACAGAGAGGTTCCATCCAGGGGGATGGAACTCTTGGGTGCAGAAATGAACAGTAGAACTGGCTGGATCGGGCAGGCCTTCTGAAGGCAGGGTCTGTAGCACTTGACTCAGTTACCCTTCTAACCTTCTGATTATCCAGTTTTCTGACTGTTCTTCCAGATACCATTTAAATTTGTTTGTTCTCTTCTCCTTTTTAGTTCTGGAAAGCTGGCTTGATTTCACAGGGGAGTTGGAGCCACCAGATCCTCTTGCAAGACTTCCCCAACTTAAACGCCACATAAAACAGCTCCTGATTGACATGGGCAAAGTACAACAAATAGCTACTCTTTGCTCTGTATGACAACAGTAACACTTCATGAAAATAATGTGGCTCTCTTCAGTGGAATCATTTTTATTATCCACAGGATTGCTAATGTGGATAGTTAAAAGGCTGAGTCATGCATGTTTGGTCATTTATTGATTTGTGATGTCAATAAGATGGTACCTTGGAGAGGAAAATGAAGAACAGCTTTATCAAGGAATATGAGCAAGCTGCAGATGATAATATTTTATATGCCAAGGATCAGTGAAGTAGAATATAATCTATACTAAGGGAAACGAATTGGCAGGATTTTGAATAGTTGATTACATGAAGCTCAAGATACCTGTAGAATGTGGTGTGTTTCTGTAGTTTTTAGTAGAAAGATCCATGTTTATAAACTAGCATTGGCTAAAAACAAAATTGTAAAGGAAATTTAAATTCTGGAGAGTTCTACAAGGTTGGTTGCTCTAAGAACTTCCATCTCAGCAGTTGGATCCAGCTGCATGGAAATTTAGGTTATTTAAACTTTCATAGGATCATGAGCTGTTTCTTGGGTGATGAATGTCCTTAATCAGAAAACTGACAGTGGAAGTCTCACTTTTTGGGAAAACAATTGTGGAATTCTTACTTCATTATGAATGTATTTAAAAAACAAACACCAAATAATTGGAATTTATTTCAGGCATTAAGCTCATTGAAAACAAACTGGCTTGCAGAAGGGTCTGATGTGCCAAATATTGATGATACTGCTGGAAAGAGGATAGTTTCTATTGCGTGAGTTCTTCCACCCTAAGTCTTACATAATGCCATCAGTCCATCCTAAACCTGTAGACCACATGTGCTATAATATGCCATATAGATAGTTGAATGGCAGTATTCAGGCTTCAGCGTACAGTTTGATTCTGGGTAAGCTTGGTGTTTGCCTTCAGAAAAAAAAAAATTATAAATAACCTCAGCTGGGATGAGGAGTGACAAAAATATCAAAATAATTTGTGGCTGTGGATTTTTTTAACTGCTAGTAGTGGAATACTGGAAAAGCTTCATTTCTGAAGATGAATTTTATTTTTAAAAAATATATGCGCACTCAAAACTTTTAGCTTTGATTGCAGATGGACAGATTTCTGAAACCAAAGGCAACTAAGTTGCTGTGTTAGCTCTTGCTGGATTTTGAGCCTAGGTCCTACTGTCCGCCAGTCCTGTGAGTTGTATGCGCCCCCAGTGCTACGTACGCAGGTGTGCGTAAGTGTGTATGCTTGTTTTAAACAAACACTCAACGTACATATGTACATAATCGACACATATTTATATCACACATATCTAGTTTTATTACTATAGACTATACGAATTGGTGGTTAACATGAAATGTTACCTTTTAACAGACTGTTTTTAAAAATTAAAAATGTATGTACAGGTTTTGAAATTTTTTTAAAAGGGGAAAAAGACTGTTAAGAGGAGGCTTTTGATGACATATAACACTTGAATATTTTATGCCTCATTCTGTTTATCAGTTCTAGCGATCTGTATAAATGTATTTTAGAACTGATAGACAGTGAACTTGAATTTATCTTTGATAAGAATACATGCCACTGTACATTCAGATATTATTTAAATTTGCAAACACACTGTTCTATATGTAAGGTACTGTATGTAAAACTCTTTATTAAAACTGTTCCACATATCCTAAAATTTCAGCTTGCCTTTTTGCGGCCTTATATTTTGATGTAAAGATTAAAAGAATATGCAAAACAGAAATTTTTATTGCCTTTTGAGATTCTCCAACTTGACAAATGTGCCAAAGATCAAGAGATATAAAGTGTAGTCTTGTGCATTTACTTGTGATAATTCATTTTGTCAAAGATTTTACTGAAATATTAAAAGCTTTAGCCGAGGTCATGTTGTGGGATAGTTGCTTAAATTTACATATTAAAGTGGAAAAACTAGTGCCTATATTCAATGTGTGGAGTAAATTTGCTAATGTCTATATTTCAAAATTGATACCATATCTTTCATATGTGTTTAAAAATAATGGCTCTCATATTTTTCCTTTTGGGGCTTAATTCTAGACATTGAGCCTCTATCTTCTTTTTTTTCAGAAATGGAGCAGTAGCCTAGTACCATGCCTTGTGGTATTGCCTAGGTTTCTGTCACTACACAGAAGACCTCTGCACTCAGTCACATCATCTGCCCAGTCCTTGGTGAATGTGCTTAAGTTAATGTATGTTTGTTCTTGTTCAGGTTCAGCTTCCCTAACCCAAAATTCTGAAATGCTCCAAGTTCCAAAACTTTTTGAGTGATGACAGGATGTTGCGAGTGGAAAATTTCATGACTGGTCTCATGTGGCTGGTCACAGTTAAAATGCAGGCTCACTAAAAATACTGTATAAAATTACCTTCAGGTTATGTGTATTAAGTATATATGAAATATAAATGAAGCACATGTTTAGATTGGGTCCTATCCCAAGATGTGTAATGATGCAAATGCAAATATTCCAAAATCTGAGAAAATCCAAAAACGTTTCTGGTTCCAAGCATTGATGATAAGGAATACTAAGCCTGTATCCTATATCACTTTTTTAGCAACCAGCAAATTGGAAATTCCCTTGTTAGATTACTAAAAGGTTTGCTCTGTGCATATTAATTAGAAATCTGTTTTTTAAAATTTAAATCTTTAAATATTAATTGAATGCACATATAGCCATTTACTACTGTAGAGTGTATCAACAATTGGATGTAGCCTTTTAGCAACTAGTGGTCTGAGCCTTTGCGAGTAAATTAGTTTTGGAGAACCAGAAGCAAATCCATTGTGAGAAGCGTCAGATGAGATTTGTTTTTTTCCTTTTAGCCTTACTTAAAAAAAAATCACTATGTATATTTAAATACAAGCAATAAACTAGAAAAGGTGTTTCTTAAAAAGATGATGTTTTGTTTGCCATTCAAACAGTACAATGAGCCTGTGTTGGGAGGGATGCCTCTTAGGATGTTACTGATAAATATAATTTGTACTACTACATACTTGTTTATGGTTCTACTGACTTATTTTCATATTTTCAGAGTAATGTACTTTTTCCTTAAAGGAATGTGGTTATTATCATTTCAGGTAAAGCCCCTTTTCTTAACACTAATTTTCACTGACTTCCTCTCATGGGCATATTTCACATGTTTAAAATGAAGCATACATACCATTTCCCTCTAATAAACTGTGTCTCCTGCCAATGTCCCTGTCTGTGTTAATAACATTGTCCTAATAAGAGTCCAGGCTTGAGGTGCTGAGTTGTCGCTCATATTCATTTCTTCACCAAATGTGGTGATTCCTCCAAATGGATGATGCTATCTTCCTCCTCAACCCCACTGGGAGCCACCATTTTTCATGTCACAGAGGTATTGCTCCTGGCCTCTAACTTTGTCTTCATTCTAATTCATCAAATTTGTCTCTCCCAGACTAGAGGAGTAACACTTATGTCTCTCCCAGTCTAGAGGAGTAACACTTAATGGGTGCCTATTCTGTGCCAGGTATTATGCATATTATGGGCAATTTCTAATTTAATTATTTATTTCATTAAGATAAGTAAAAATCCTCATTTCCTAAATGAGGATGCTGAGGTTTTGAAACTTTTCTAGAGTAAGATTTAAGTGGCAGCTTCAGGATTCAAACCTTTTGCTAATTCAAGTTCATGTTCTTTTTCTAGCATGTATGCTGTAGCTAGTCTTGTTATTTCAGCTTCTGGCAGCCTTTAGTGATGCCCTATTGCAAATAATCTTCAATCCATGTAGTCTGGATCTTTTGCAGTTTACCTAGCCAGCTCTCAAGTTCAGGTAAATAGACCCTCACTGTTAGATTGACTATTCTTATTTCCATCTCTTGACTTCATATAAACTACCTGTTTTGGAACATTCTCCCTTGTCTGTGTCTCTGTTAAGTGGCATTCTTTCGAGCTTCAGGGACTCTTCGTATGAGTTTCAGTGCTTTGCTGAGCCTTCCTGTGGGATGCTGTGTTGTGCCAAGCTATGGAAGAGGCATATCAGTGAATAATCCTTTCATAGAGTGAAATAGGCTTGAACTTTTTTGCAAGCTTGTCCTCGGATGTTCGCTGGAGATTTACTAGTAGTGTGATCTCTGAGCTTTGGTTTTCCTGTTCATAAAATGGGAATAATACCTAACTTAGAATCTTACTTTGAGAATTAAGTACCTAGAAACTCTTATTAATAAATTTGAATTTGGGTATTCTGGGTGTCCCAGTTCAGAGGCTGGGAATGGATACAGAACTAACAAAATCAGTCTGTAGGCTAATGGAAGCATGAACATTTCCCAGTGACAGTGTAAGAAGCCAAAGAGGCTAAAGAAAGGAAGATAATTAGACTAGGTGGAGAGACTTGGAGAAAAGGATCATGCATGTTAATTAAAATACTGACTTCTCCAAAGGGAGTTTGGAGAGTCTCGAGTCTACTTTTGGTACCTGCTGTCTTTGCCCCCTAAAGAGGAACCAGAAACCTGACCTGTCTTGAGTGCACAATTTATTTATTAGGGAGAGAATCCAAGGAAGAGTAGGGGAGGAAAAATGGGAAGAGGGGAGGAAAAGGCTATAAATATGCATAAGTGAGGACAGTACTGTGGGCTTTAGGCTTTGCTTCTTCCATTTGAAGTTCATCATAAATTTAAACAGTCGCACAGGGTGTGATTCCCAATTTATAAATATTAATATTAAAATCAGTTACATTTTAAAATGTATGCATGCATTAGAATGAATAGTTCTGCTGCTTACCAACTTTTATTTTAAAAACACATGAGCAAGCTCTTAACATTTGAAAATTGTCTGCATATTCTTATTTTTGCTTTTCCATTTTTTCTGCCCATCAGAGCATTATCTTGTATACTTACAGGTCTTAATTCCATCTTTCTCATATTTTTGCACACAAGGAAAAAATGGCACATTGTGATTAAAGTGTGTTTGTTGGCTTCTTAATAGAGTACAAAAATAACAAAGCAAACACTAGCCTCACTGAATAGAGAAGTGGAAAAATCTACAATTAGATTTGAAAATTTCAACCCTTGTTTAGCATACAAAAATCATTAAGGATATAGAATACTTGAACAAAAATGACCACCTAACTTGACTTAATTTACACTTACAGGACATTGCATCCAACAACAAAAAAAGAATATAGATTTTCTTTTTGAGTGTACATGGAACCCTCAAAATGACATATTATATACTAGGCTTTAAAACAAGTCTTGAAAATGTAAAATAATAGAAATTGTGCATATGTCTTCTGACCACAACAGAATTAAACTAGGGATTGATGCTAGAAAGACCCAGAAAAATTCCCAAATGTTTGGAAATATAACAACATACTTTTAAATAACTCATGAGTATAGGGCAAAAAAATCTAAAATTTTGAAAATATTTGAATGAAAATGAAAGTAACATGCTAAGTTTTGTAGAATATAGCTCAGTGTTACAAATTTATAGCTTTAAGAGCTATATTTAAAAAGAAGAAAGGTACGAAATCATGAAGATTACATCTTAGGAAACTAGAAAAATAAAGAACAAATTAAAACCAAATAAGCAGGGAAAGGAAGGGAAATAGTGTGTGCTGAAGCCAGTGAAGTACTAAGTGGACAAACACAAGGCCATGTGTAAACCAAAGAGCTAGTTCTTTGAATGGTAAGATTGATGTCCTGGGCAGACTTAACAAAAACATTAGAATGGAAAAGGGAATATTACGTATCCAACAATTTCTAAAAGATTTTTTTGTGAACAACTATATTTAACAAATTAGAGGCTTAAATACAATGGAAAAATTCTTCAAGGGACAATTACCAAAAGGAGAAATTAAAGACATTGAATTAGTAGTTTTAAAATCATTCCTTGAAGAAAACTCTAGACCTAAATGTGAATTCTATCAAATATTTAAGAAGTAATCATTGGCAGAACATTTAAAAATGAAGAGCATTTAATTTTTGAGACCAACATTGACCTTCAGGAAAAAAGAAAAACATGGCAAGGAAAGAAAATTACAGATCAATTCATTTACTGAATATACACAAAATCCTCAACAAAAATTAGTAAATTGAATCCAGCAATAGGTAGTAAGGATAGTTTAGCCAAGCCCAGTTTAGGTCGTTTTCAGTAATATGAAGTGGATTTAATATTCAGAAAATAATATATCAGTATAAGAATATAAATTTTTGTTAAAAGTATTTCACAAATTCCAACATCCATTCATGATTTAAAATTATCAGAAAAATATAGAAGGAATTAATAGGAATTAATGTGACTTTATAGTTTCTACCAAGAAAGCAGCATAATGGAAAAAAAAAAAAAGAATATTCCCTACAACAAAGAACAAAGCAAGATGGTCCGCTATCACTACTTCTTTCCAGCATTGTACTAGATATTATGACACTGGTCAATGCAGGAAGAAAAAGAAGTTAAAGCCATACAATTGGAATGGAAGAAAAACATTCTCAGGTGACATGTCGTATACCTGGAAAAATCTAAGGAATGCTATCAGAGCTCATAGTTGTGTATATTAGCAAAGAACAATTGAAATCAGAATTAACTAGCAATACCATTTTCCAGGCATGAAAAATGTCGACAGTTGGACAATAAAAAAATGTGTAAGATCAGAGTAAAAAATGCATAAAGATGACAATAAATGAATAGAAAGATATATCAGGACTATGGACTAGAATACTCAACGTTAGTTCTCCCAAAATTGACCTGTGTCATAACAATCCTAATAAAAATTCCAGAAGGCTTTTTCAAATAGAAATTAGCACACTGGTTCTAAAATTTATATGCAAAGACAAAGAACCTAGAATACTTCAGGAGCTTTTGGAAGAACAAAATTGAATATCAGACAATTCCTGATTTAGAGGCTTATTATAAGCCACAGTAATCAAGGCAGTGTAGAAAATGGCACAGAGATTGGGATGTAGATCAATGATACAGAATAGAGTATATAGAAATAGGCCTAAAACCCAACCACTAAATGGGAATCCCTGTTGTTCCATACCTGTGGTGGTGTCCCTGTTTGGGATTTTAGTCATTTAGGACTGCCTTGGTAGCTCACCATTCCAATTTGCATGTGCGATCCAATTACCCCGGTATCATTTGTTGAGAAGGCTTTTTCCCTTGAATTATGTAAGTGCTTTTGTTGAAAATAAGGTAACCATATTACAAGGGTTTATTTCTGCACTTGATACTCTTTTTATATTATTATTATGCTAACATCAAACTGTTTTAATTACTGAAGTTTTATGATATGGTGGGTAGTAGAACTCTTTAAGGTTTTTATAAAAATTGTTTTTGCCAAATCTAGGTTTTTTACATTTCTGTCAAAGATTTCTGAATCAAATTGCCTACTTCTTTTAAAAGCTGCTAAGATTTTGACCAGAATTAAAGCTATATAGATCAATTGCCATCTAAACAATATTGAATAGTCTTATGATCCATGAGCATGATAACTTCCTCCATTTATGACTTTTTTCCTAGCATTATTTAGTAGTTTTCAATGTTCAGATTTTGAACATTGTTGTATTTCTAAATAGTTTAATTTTGAGTAAATTGTAATTGTTTTTTAAAATTTCATTTTCAGACGTTTCATTACTAGAAAGAAAAAAATCGAATTTTTTTTAACATTTTGTCTCCTGTGACATTGCTAAAATTGCTTGCCAGTCATAGAATTTTTGTATGACCCCAATTATTTTCTATATATACAATATTATATTTTCTATTAATAAAGCCACGTTTATTCCTTACTAATGCATACACCTTTATTATTTTTTCATTGCTTTGTTGCAAAGGCAAGGACACCCAGTTCATTGTGAATAAAAGTAGTAAGAGTGGCAGATATCCTTTAATTGTCCCCTTGAGGGAAGATACTTTATCTTACACCAATAAATATATTATCTTTAAGTTTTGGGCATGTGCCTTTTATCAGATTAAAGAAGTTAGGTTCTTAGTTTGTTGAGAGTTTTAATTATGAATGTTGAACTTTATAATTGCATCATTAAGGCTCTGGATTTTGACAAATTTTTTTCTGTTTCTAGTATCATACAGGTAGTCATATAACTTTTTTATCTTTAATACGGTGTATGGCATTATTCTTTTGGGGGGGTTAAACCAATCTTGTACTCTGTCAATAAACTTTGTATTAGTTTAAAAAATTAAAGAAAAAGGAATGAGAAATAATTATCTGTTTTTTAGTTT